GTTAGGGTGACAGTTATTTTCTGATTTTCTGAAAAAGCAAAAAGGCAGTTCATTTTATGGTTCCATATAGCATAAAAACATCACATGCAAAGTTTCATCCGGATCGGATTATATTTAACCGTGCCTCCTTGAACTTGAATGTGTACACTTTTAGCCATTGGGCCAGCAGTGTAGACCTTTCTGGTATGTAAACCATAAGCAGAGTTTCTCAGCTATTCATAACGATGCAATTATAAAACAAAAGACTGTGGTACATGAAAACTAGTGATGTATTGTAAAACGATAGAAAAAAAAAACTGAGATAGGACTCAATGCGTCTTGTGGCAGTTGGCAAACTTGGACCTCCTGACGAGTCTGAGCATCTGCGTCGAATGCTATCGCGCATTACTGCACATGCCGGGTGACTGTGCTGTGCCTTTGCTAGCGTTTGGAAACCTTCCACGGTGTGCCTCCACCACCTGCAGAATGTACTGCCTCTGGTCCTCATCCTTGGTGAGGGTCAAATTGTACGCTTCTATCAGAGCGACGCCACGCTCGGCGAAGTCGTTCACCACCGTGATGCCGTTGGCCTTCCCCGCTGCGGCGACATAGCGGGAGTCGTCATGCCACTCGGCAGGGTCGGGCTCGAGGAAGCCGTCGTCAATTCCAAGAGTGACGAAGAACGTCCGCGACAATGTGGTCACGAAGTTTGCGAGGGTCTTCTGCGTCAGGTCTGCGCTGAGATCAACGACGGCCCGCTTGGTAAAAGTCCTACGAGCCCTCGTTCGAGGCCAGGGCCTCAACAATGGCCCGCTTTCCATGCAGTGGTAGGCTCTCGTCAAAGAACGCCAACGGGACGAGGCCGTCACACAGACACCACAAGTGACGTCGGGCGAAGCCGCTGAGAAGCGTCTTGGCGAGGGACTTGTCTTCGTACCTGGCCTACGTCTTCAGAAGGGAGAGGTCGTTCTTAGGGGCCGATGTTGGGCTCGGCGCGGTGTACCACGCGGGAATGTAGACCGACACGGCAAACTTGACGAATCAACGACCAAGAACGACCGCTCCCTTCTGACGGAACCCCCTAAGAACAACCTCTCCCTTCTGAAGACGTTGGCCTGGTACAAGGACAAGTCCCTCGCAAAGACACTCCTCAGCGGCTTCGCCCGACGTCACTTGTGGTATCTGAGTGAGAGCCTAGTCCCGTTGGCGTTCTTTGACGAGAGCCTACCACTGCATGGAAAGCGGGCCATGGACGAGGCCTCGCCTCGAACGAAGGCTCGGAGGACCAAGCGGGCCGTCGTTGACCTCAGCGCAGACCTGACGCAGAACACCCGCGCAGACTTCGTGACCACATCGTCGCGGACGTTCTTCGTCACTCTTGGAATTGACGACGGCTTCCTCGAGCCCGACCCTGCCGAGTGGCATGACGACTCCCAGGGCATATTTTAACAAATTTTTACTGCGTCCCAAAGTTGAGCAGAGGGCACGTGCTACGACTAAGGGCACAGGGCAAAGAAACAGAGTAGGACACTGAGGAGGGCAGAAAGTAGGGCACGGCAGGTTACAGGGCATGACACAGGGCATTTCAGAGGGAAGGGTACAGGTCAGGGCACACAGCAGGGCACCCGGCATGGGTCAGGGAACCGGACAGGGCACAGGACAGAGACGCAGTGGGTCAAATAGGCAGGGGCATACGTCCCAAGGAAGGGGGGCTGCGTCCCAGAATGGGACGCAGTAAGTGCCTTAAAATATGCCCTGACGACTCCCGCTATGTCGCCGCAGCGGGGAAGGCCAACGGCATCACGGTGGTGAACGACTTCGCCGAGCGTGGCGTCGCTCTGATGGAAGCGTACAATTTGTCCCTCACCAAGGATGAGGACCAGAGACAGTACATTCTGCAGGTGGTGGAGGCACACCGTGGAAGGTTTCCAAACGCTAGCAAAGGCACCGTCACCCGGCATCTGCAGTAATGCGCGATAGCATTCGACGCAGATGCTCAGATTTTTTTCAGGAGGTCCAGGTTTGCCAACTGCCACAAGACGCATTGAGTCTTATCTCAGTTTTTTTTTAAATCGTTTTACAATACATCACTAGTTTTCGTGTACCACAGTCTTTTGCTTTATGATTGCATCGTTATGAATAGCTGCGAAACACTGCTTATGGTTTACATACCAGAAAGGTCTACACTGCTGGCCCAATGGCTAAAAGCGTACACATTCAAGTTCGAGGAGGCACGGTTAAATATAATCCGATCCGGATGAAACTTTGCGTGTGATGTTTTTATGCTATATGGAACCATAAAATGAACTGCCTTTTTGCTTCTTCAAAAAATCAGAAATTAACTGTCACCCTAATGCATGTATGTATTCATACATACTTGCAAGGCAGTCTATAATCAGCCATGGCTATTACTGCCGTAAGTCATAAGATAATTACGAGCGAGCGAGCGCAGCGAGCGTAGCGAAGTGTTTTCAATATAAAGGGAAAATCTCAGTATGAGCGGCCCGGCCCGGCCCGGCCTGTAACGCTTTTGAAAGGCTTATATATCAGCAGCCGCTGGACCGTGATTGGCCTGCGATCTTTTTTGCTGGGTAGCCCCACCCCTTCTACCCCGTAATTGCATTTTGATACATCTCAGTGACCGTCGTGGCACGTGCCACGTGAAAAGTCAAGGGTGTTTGAGCTGTTTTGCAAAAGAAGTGTTTTTGAGAGGATCATATCTCAGCAGCCGCTTGGGCGATTGTCTTGTGGTAATTTTTGTAGGGTAGCTGCATCCTCTCCCTAAGGTCGGATACTCTTGATCTATGTGAGTGACCCCCACTGCACGTGCAAAATGCATAAAGAAGAGGTGCCAAATTTGTTCCCATTTCAATAACTCGGTAATTACTGGGGCAATTTCGCTGAAACTTGACATACCTTCAGGTAGGCACCCACCAGCCACCAGGCAATGCATTCCCATGTGTTGCGGTTATGGTGCTACAGTAGCAGTAGCACTGCTACTGCACGTGCGCACGTGCAGGGGGCGCTTCCAGATCTCGAGAACGACTAGGCCGATTGCGCTAAGATTTGGTACACGGTTGGGGACCGGTTGTAGGGTGCCGTGCAAAAGGCAGTTTGGAGTTTGGACCCCGTTTGCACGTGCGCACGTGCATAATGCCCCTTCCAGATCTCAGGAACGGCTGGGCCGAATGCGTTCAAATTTGGTACACCGCCAGCGACCAGTTAGAAGGGTGCTTTGCACAAGCCCATTGGAAGTACCCTCTCGCCCTTCCGCACGTGGTAAAATCATGCAGGTTGCAGTCATCACAGTCATCAATGATCATTGATCAACACCATCACAATAAAGCAGTAGAAACAATCACACACGCTCACAGCCCGGGCCACATCCCACAACCCATACGCACATGAACGGTTTCATAAAGTCAAAACATGGGCTCTCGCTGCTCGCACAAAACGCTGGCGATACAGCTCGGTGGCTCCGGCAGGCAGCGAATTATACAGGTCTGGCGCTCTATGCCTAACTACGTGAAACGACGGCAACGCCTCCCGGCCCTCCCGGCCTCTGTGCTCGGCCTGGGTAGACGGAAGAGGTCGTCCTGCCACCAGTGCACTGCCGGCACAGCTCGGACACATGTGCTTCCCAGGCGGACCGGTCAATGACCGGTGACGCCGCCGGAGTGAAAGCGGGCCCGACAGAATCGCCAGAAAAAAAACAGCCTAATGGGTAGGTCCTATACTAGTCTCCACAGACCAACCACAGACGGTCAGTCAGGCAAGAACTAGACTCAAAGGCCAAAAAACCAAAGGGTAAGACAGACAGCCACCAGACGGAGCGTCAGACTGACAGACGACGCTGTTGGCTTGGCTATTAATTTAGACGACCTTGCCACCCATAGGGCGGGAGGGAGGGGGCGTTTCGCCTCCCGCCTAAGATCACGGAAAGTTACCGACCGATTTTCAAAATTCAAATGGCGTCTGATAGCCCACCACCGAGGAAGAACCATATGACCCAGACCCAATTTCCTTGTCCTGGGTCGAACCAATGATGTTGCAGGTCAGGTCGCCATTCGACTCAGCTCACCGAGCTGAGTCGAATGGTATAAAAATCTCTACTTCGAAAAATTTGACACTAAGGATGTTCTTGCTCGGACCAGCGCGGGTTAACGGTAATTTCTGAGTATGAGCGAGCGGCCGGCGTACGGACGCTTTGGCGAGGCTTATATCTCAGCAACCACTTGACCGATTTACTTTTCATGATTTATGTAGCATACATAAATGATTATTTCGTAGTCGTATGCGTATGCGTAGTCAAATAGTACCTACATGCATCATAGCATATGTTGTCGGCTATCAGCATTTTAAGGTAACACACACTACACAGCGTCAGATGGCTTGTGCTCTTAGCTTTCCAGGACGCTTGGTGAATGGCGAATCTCACGCAAGATCCTGATGCACCCCCAGGACGAACAAGCAGCGATACACGATGGTCGATGTCGAGCGTTTCGGTCACATTCGACCGACTCCTGGCGCCGGGCGGTGACCGTGCAGAAACCGGGCACGTGACTGGAAAAAATCGCCGAGCCGTCTCCGGCCTCATCACCGCGCTGGCGGCGCGGGCGGGTTCCGGGATTGTCACTTATCAAGGTCGTTAAGTGCACGATTGTGCCACTTTGGCGCACGGAGTTGGCACGGCGGGCCCTGGTGAGAGGCAGAAGTGGGTCGCGTCTTCACGCCGCTCCCGGGTCACCACTGACCCACAACACATGGATAGTTACAAACCTTGGTGCAGGGCAGGCGCCACGCCGACACCCTTAGCTGGCGACTGATCGATGGCCGGCGGCCGCACAGTGACTGCAGTCACTACTGGGTTCGAGCGTTGAGCGTTGATGAGCGAATTCGCCCATAACGGAACGGATCACAAATGTTTCTGTTTGTTACCTGGATTGAGCCTGTCGATTGTACACATAGGTACCGCTTACCTGATACCTCATCCACTCCACACTGAACCAAAACAAGCGTCCTGAACGTCGTTTCAGCCCTTGTATTGTTACCATCATGGAACGTCGGATATTACCATAACGACACGGGACGCTCTGAGATGACTGGAGCGGCCCGGCCGCGGCCGCAGAACACGCCACGACCCTTGCACACTCGGTCCGAGCGACAATGTCAAACAATCTCCGGCGCCCCGATCGCCGAGACGCGGCAAGGCACAGCAACTCCCATCCACACCGGCACAGCAAACACACACAGACAGTCGCGCACACAAACACAACGACGAACACATTCACCGGAACACGCACCAAAAGACAGCCGCTGGGAGCCCGGGGCCCGGCCAACCACCTCTGCCGCTGGGGGTCCGGGGACCGCCTCTGCTGCTCGCCACCCGCTGGCCCGGCCACTGGGGGCCCGGCGGCCACCTCTGCCGCTCGCCGGACCCCGCTCCGCTCAGATAGTGGCCCACGCCGCGCGGCAGCGGCCGTATGGGAAGACGCCACGGGCGGGGACCAGTGGACAGAACCTCCCGTTCATAGGCTGCACATGGCCCGGACGCTCGGTGCCGTTTTCGTTCGAGATCGGCCGCGTATTGTGGCGCGGGGTTGCGCCCGTCCGACCCGGCACATGCCGACCGGCGACGGGCAGTGCTGTGCGGCCGACCGTGCTGTGCAGCGTGACATCACATATTGGGTTAAACAGATTCCGTTGTGCCGTTACAGCTCGGTAGCGCCGGGCACAGCCACAGAACGGCGCGACACTCACCGATAGTTCGACGGCAGCGCCACCTATAACACATCCATAGACAAGTGGCGCCCTCTGTACGGTCGTCCAGCGGACGAGCGCAGCCGTCCACTCAGACTCGGGCGACCCGTCCAGCTGTCCAGAGACTCTCGGCGAGGCCCCTCTCGGGCCCAGTGACGCCGCACGTCAGTCACGTGCGTCCCGGCGACTTTTCACCACTCGGCGTCTCCACCGGCCTTCTGGAATATGTAGTCCTTCCCGTCCAGGTTCATAATGCCGTCCTTGAGGTGGAACTTCCATCGGTTTCGGCTGCGTGTGATCTGAACGCAAAAACAGTACAGGTGAAAGGTGGACCTTATGTTGCCAGGGGTTCAAAGAGCGCATGGAGGTTAGGGACAGGGTTCACCGACTCCATATAAGTTGAGCCATTGAGAGAGACGCGGCCTAATACCGAAATACGCCGATGATCCGGATTGATCCAGCTGACCCCTGGCGGCCGGCTGCGCAGCTCCCCACGCCACCTACCTTGTCGTACTGGCAGACCATGACGTTGAACGTCTCCTGAAGGTCGGCCGGCTCGTGGTCGCTGACGTCATCCTCGGAGTTCAGCGGCTCCTGACGGCGACACACAGAGCGGGGGTCATCGGGAAAGGCCAGGCCCGGGGGGGGGGGGGGGGTCAGCCAGGCAGGCCGGAGAGACATGACAGGTGAGGGTCAGCTGGGTAGGCCGGCGACACACAGAGCGGGGGTCAGCCGAGGCAGTGGTGGGGACACACAGAGAGGGGTCAGCCGGACGGGGAGAGCCGAGAGGGACACATACAGGGGCCAGCGGAGGTTTCAAAACTCCCAACTAAACAGCAATTAGAATACAGCCCTGTTTTAGAGTTGCAGCCTACAGCCCATAGGCGGCGAAACGGGGAGGGCACCGGGGCACCGTGCCCGTCCTCCGTTAGGGCCGGTGTGGCCGGTGACGCGTTCCCGCTGCTGTAGTTGGGGCCAACTCCGCGTCCCCGGGCGCCGTCTGCGCGCCGTCTCTCCCGTCCCCCCTCACCTCCTCCCGTCCCCCCTCACCTCCTCCCATCCCTCTCTCACCTCCTCCCGTCCCTCTCTCACCTCCTCCCGTTCCTCTCACCTCCTCCCATCACTCTCACATTCCTCCCGTCCCCCCTCACCTCCTCCCGTCCCCCCTCACCTCCCCCGCCCCCCCTCACCTCCTCCCGTCCCCCTCACCTCCCCCGTCCCCCCTCACCTCCTCCCGTCCCTCTCACCCTCCTCCTGGCCCTCTCACTCCTCCTCCCGTCCCCCTCACCTCCTCCCGTCCCTCTCACCGTCCTCCCAGCACTCTCACCTCCTCCTGGCCCTCCTGATCCTCCTCGTCCTCGTCATTGCCGATATCGTCGTCGTCGTCGTCGATGTCGTCCTCGACGTCGTCATCCACGTCGTCGTCGCTGTCGGACGTGTCGTCTAGGCCGTCGGTCTGCGGTACGCGCAGGCCCAGGCGGCGCGCCAGCCGCCGGTCGGCGCGCCGGCGCTCCTCCGCGCTACGAGACGGAGCGGCGGCGGCGGCGGCGGCGGCGGCGGCGGGGGCGGGGGCGGCACACGCGCCGGCGGGGAGTGTGAAGGAGGCGCCGGCGCGCTCCGCCGCCGGCGGACTGTCGCCACTGCCGTCCAGCTGACCAGGCAGCCTGTGCTGCGCCGGGGCCACGCCGCCGGCGTACTGGACTCCGCCTGCCGAGACGGACGGCGGTGTGTCAGCAGCGGCGGCTGACAGCCAGCCGGAGGTCGGCCGGCGCGTCGTCCACTTCCCAATGTGGTACGATACCAGGCGCGAGTCAAATCACGCAAAATGTGTACGCTAGCTTTAGATTCATTTGGTTGTAATTAAGAACAGTCTGACAAGCGGGCGATGTAGAAGGAGAAAGCGACTCGCTACGAGTTTTGACAATAATCAGTGCACACAAACACACGGTGCGTCACATCACACACGGCACAACACACAAACAGGCAAAAACAAACGCACACAGGTGGCGGCAGGGGGACAGAGTGCCGTGCCTCGAGCACGTCGATCGAGGGCCAGATGACTGGTTAAAGGAGTGGTGAGCCGTCAGCGTCCCAGCAGACCGATTACCACTCCCCGAATCTCTGTCAAAAACTAACACGTCGAAATGACGTTCTGCGATGGCACGTGACATTCATGTCAGGCTACATGATGCCATCAATCGTTAGAGGGTTAATTGTAAGACTGTGAATTGAAGATCGGCTAGGCTATAGGTGACTTTGGGATGGCTGTTAATCATCAATTACAATGTTGAATGAAACTCATAGAATTTGGATACCCATCCCAATAATGTTCGCTGGTAATGCGTTGAATATAGTGAAGAACCACACCAAAGGATAATATTTTACAGAAAAAATGCACAGCAGAATCAAGTCGCCAGGACGGCCCCAGCTTCAGCCCCTACGGATTTGCCAAAAGTCGCCCGGCTTCAGATGAACTGCGTTGAAATCTGAGAACGACGAATAGCTGGGGAGCGGTGACTATAAATGTATGTCAGATGCAAACAGGGATGAAAAAAATATGTGCCGAGTTGGGGTAGCAAGGGCGCAGCAAATTCCCCGCCGCACTTACGGTGACATTGACCTCCGCCGTCTGTTGCGGCTCCAAAGCCAAGCCGGCGTGGAATTGGGAAAGCTCGTGCTACCCCAACTTGGCAAAAATATCCACCCCTAGATGCAAACACTACACTTGGTGTGATCCCATCGACAGCATCGCCAGAAACCGGTCACAACCGAAAGGCAGCGCACACCAGCACACGTTCCCCGCCACCAGTATCCTGTCATGCCAGCCAGCATCACTCCCACATACACAGACCAGCCCCGAAAGACCCCGCCCACGCCGCGGGCAGCGCAGCAAGCGGGCGTCCGCACCGGCGAGGGGCTCAAACCAAACTGAAACCAAAGCTCCCCGCTAGCAGGCAGTGTGCGGGTGTGTGCGCGGCCGGGGGAGTTGGTCGCGGTGGGTCCGGTGGTCGCGTGCTCTGTGCGCCACACCCCACACAGTGCGTGCCCAGGTCACCGTCGGCCGTATCAGTACGTGGGGAGCGGCCGTGAGCCAGCGCCATCGCCGACAGGTAACTCGACGGCAGGCTGACATGGAACCGAGGCGGCGGCGGCGGCGGCGGCGGCGGCGGCGGCAGCGGCAGGCCGGCCGGCACGCGCGGCGGCCACGGGTGCAGCGGCGGCGGCGGGCGCCAGGCAGCCGGCACCGGCCGGCGCGGCGGCTCGCGACTGCCCTCTGTCGGCAGCGGCGGGTACTAGTACTGCGCCGGCGGCGGACGGCCGTCCCAGGTGGCGCCGGTGTGGCGGCGGGCAGACACAGGCGCAGAAGAGGGCTGACTGTTCCGGCGGGGACCGGAATAAACAGTGGAGCGAAGAGGGGACGATGGACAATGTACACTGTACAGTAGCACTAGGCGACCACAGCTCTCCACATTCTGCGTTTTTTTTTTTTTGCGGGCAACTGATGGGAGTTCGGGTAGGCAATACAATACTAGGTAGGTATATGTATAGCCGTTTTATAAATATCTCAGAGTTACAAGATGAAAAATCCGTCTTGACATCTGAATCTATGAATATTACGTTAACCGTGATTGAAGGTTATCTCAGTCATTTTCTAACGCATTTCGTTCTTAGGAGCAACAAAAACAATTGAAGTACGGCATTGAGCGAGCATGGAGCAGCAAAAAGGTGGCCGGAAACAGTCGCTCCGCTGTTTATCCACCCCAGATTCACAATTACTCTGATGGTGTATCGGCTATATGAGCGCACAGTCCTGCTGAAGAGCTTCCACCAGTGACGGGTAAGTTAGAGAGCGAATGGCCATGCTGGGGACGTTGCGGGCAGGTTAGCTGGCAGTCTCGTGCGAGGCTGGTTAGTTACAGGGCAATCGGGCACAGACCGCGGGCTGTCGATTCGCAGAGGTGCGACCACCGACTGGGCATCAGCCGAACCGACATCACATCACTGCGCGTCTAGTCTGATAGATTTGGGACGCACCCAATCGTCAAATATCTTACACCTTCGTCACACAAAATACATGAGAACTAGGACTAGTCGTAACTACCGCTTAACCAGGCTATCCAGCCGACTGGCCGCCCCTCCCTGTGTCGTTATCCCCGCTGCCCGGTCGGCCCGCTGGGCGCTGCACCCACCTCCGGCCGCCGGCGCCACGGTCACCACACGCTGCTGCTGCTGACTGGACTGGCGCAGCGCCTCGTTCAGCTGCTGCTGCAGCATGCTGCTGGCGATGTCGGGCGGCAGCGCGAACGTGGCCTGCGCCGCCGCCGAGCTGAGAATTGTCTGTAGGTGCTGGCCGGCCAGGCCCGACTGTACCGCCGACACGGGCACCTGACGGCGGGGGAGCGGTGCCGTCAGTACAGGAGCAGGGCGGCGGAGCACGTGGCACCGTCAGTACAGGAGCAGGGCGGGCGGAGCACGGGGCACCGCCAGTACAGGAGCAGGGCGGGCGGAGGACGGGGCACCGTCAGTACAGGAGCAGGGCGGGCGGGGGAGGGGGTGCCGTCAGTACAGGAGCAGGGCGGGCGGAGGACGGGGTATCATCATTATAGGAGCCACCAGGCGGCGGGGGAGGGGCACCGTCAGTTCAGGAGTCAGTGGGACGGGGCACCGTCAGTACAGGAGAGACACCAGAACGAACAGCTCGATAATGTCGGTAGGCGACCATGAAGCTATACAGACCATCGAGACAAATTCTAAGATCAATCAAAATTAGATCGTTTTCATGCCATGCAATAACCTAACAATGCCTAACATCACGGAGATACCAAGAGGTTAAGCCTCTCCTGAGTCCTGACATTCACTACAGCAATAGACTGTTTCTCGAGACTCGCTGACACCGCTCCCACCCCCGTACAGCACTGGCTGGGGCAAGTGCCATGCTCGCACCGGCTGCGGACAAGCCCCGGCCACAGGCAGACAGACATACCTGGACGACGATGGTCTTGTTCTCTCCTCCGGGCTGCTGCGGCGGAATGGTGATCTGGATGGGCACCAGCGACTGAGGCTGAGCGACCGGCTGGGCCGCCGCGCCGGCCGCCGGAGCCGCTGAGCGCGCTGCCGCGCGCACTGCCGGGGAGGGGGACGGTGTGAGACACGCAGAGTGGAGATAGATCAGGCACAGAGTTCAGACACTGATCAGACTGAGTAGTCACACTACCGAGGTGGGTAAGGGGGCTCACCAGGCAGACGGCGTCAGTGGACGGAGCGTGCCGGTCGTCGGGACATAAAGAGAGTAAGGAGTCAAGAGACATTGCCGGGATGTAGAGCAACGGGCAGTGATAACGTCAGAATGGTAAGAGAGGAAATTTCAGAAACAGATGCGGCGGTAACGATGATGTAACGACCCCGCCGAAAGGGGGGAGGACCTTTGACGTTTTTTTTTTTTGTCAAATCCTCAGCCCTGTTAGCGAAAGAGCTGAAATTGTGCATGCATGACCGTTCTTTATTCAAGCTCGATCTTTGGGCACGAATCCAATTTATGCCGTTACTGCCAAAAGATCGAGAATGAATAAAAGGTGAGGCATGCAAAATTTCAGCTCGCTGTCACCAAGTGCCAGGGAATCTTTAGCAGGGATGTGCAGCTGTTATTGGAAAGCAAACATCCGAATCCCAACAATTTGCATTATTTGCTCATAATTTCACACGGATCCCTTGAGGTCATATCGGTCAAATGACCTCAAGATCGTAACTCCAAAAAGAAAATGTTGCGCCAGAAATGATCTTATCCAATCTCAAGCACTTGAAATCGTGATTGCATACTTTTCATAAAGTATTTTTGTGTTCATTCTTTTTAGTCGGTCCATGTGCGACGCCGTATGACGACACCGAGGTAATTTAACCCGCGCCCTGGTGGGGTCTGTTTATAACGCGATCTGGTGGGGGGGGGGGGGGGGGGCTATTTTTTGCCCCCCCTCGTATCTCCGAAACTACTGGACGGATCCGCAAAATTCAAACGGCGTTCGAAAGGCCTGTCAAATTTGTCGAGGAAAACCAAATTTCATTGACCTCGGGGTCACCGATGACGTCACAGGTCAGGTCAAAGATGAAATGTTTCACCGTTCACGGGTCTTCTAGGGAATGCGCTATAACACCGAGGAAAACGCATTTTGTCGAGAATCAGCGATAGGGCGTCAGTTGCCTAGTAGATATATTACTATTAGAGGTCACTGACAATACCAGGTCAGGTCACAGGTCAGGTCACCAAGGGTCACAGGTCAGGTCACATGAGCCCAACTTTACTAAGGTTGTGTGATGCATGTTTTATGGCCAATTTTTCATTTCCAACTCAATGGTATTGGTTATAAGACTATCAGGTACGGCTTAGGTCACTTTCTGGTGAAGTTCAGGTCAAGGTCAGGTCAAGGTCAGGCCAAAAAAAGGTCAAATTTTAAAGTTGATAGTTTTGCATAAAATGGGTATTGATTCGATGCAGCTCCTCACGGGGAGTCTAATGGTGGTCTTTGTTTTGCGCTACGGGGTCTAGAATTGCTAAAAATTGAGTTTGAAAATTTGACGTCATCAATTTTGAACAGTTTTTTCGCTATAACTTCGCCAAAAAAAGAGGTATCGATCTCAAATTTGGTATGTGGATGGAAGGCGGTAAGGACTATCACATATATTCCGGTTTTTGCGAAATTCAAAAAACTTTTTGGATTTTTCGATTATTATATGCAAAAAAATTATTTTTTGATTTTTGGGGGTCAAAATCCAAAAATTTCAAAAATCCGAGATAGCAGTTTTGTAGCCCTGTTGATTCTACAGCTTTTATGTCTTTATCATTTTTCTGTATTTGCAAAGCTATAGGCCTGACAGCTCTTCCCGCGAAACCCTTTTTTGGGTCGAAAACGGCAGAACATGACGTCACTCTGACGTCATTTCCGGCCAACCTATCATAGCCTTTGGAAATATTTTTGGTCACAATGTGTAAAATTGATGTCCGGGAGGGTACTGAGAGTTTGGTGACGATCGGCGCAGCGGTTCTGGAGATATATCAAAAAGTCTGGAGGGGGGGGGGGGGGCAAAAAATAGCCCCCCCCCCCACCAGGGCGCGGGTTAAGGTCATCGGACTTTTTTCGCCGAGAACTCCACAAGTCCCCATCAAACTGAGTAAGCGAGTGGGAAAACATCAAGGAATTTAGGAAGAGCTGCAGGACCAAATAAGCGGCATGACCTACTTGCCGAATTGACCTTGACGCTGAATCTTTCATGACCTTTCATGACCTGATTGCCGAATTGACCTTGACGTGAGGTTAACCCGCGCCGGGCCGGTGCTCGGCGGCCAGCGCAAACCGCGCCGGGCCGGGGCGGGGTGGGGGGGGGAGTCTGAACACCCCCTCCCGTCTAACTCGGCTCCTGGGCCACGTAGTGACACGCAGTAAGCAGCAATCGAAAGAGCGTCAAAAATAATGGCGGAAATACTTCAGTCGTTTTTAAGGTCAGGCCGAAGGTCAGGTCGTCAGAGGTAATCAAAGGTCAAATTTTGTTTATTTCAACAATTTTCGAAACACCCAACGGCTAACTCGGGAACCAATAGAGCTACAGCACCGCGGAAAAGCGTATTCGATAGCTCTATCAACGCTCTTTCGCCAACATGTCCTCAGATTTGATAGCTTTTGACTCAAGAGAACCACGACATACCTTTTGCCAGCAACATGTTCCTCTCGTGAAGACACGTCGAATGAGCTATAAATGGACATTGAAAGGTTATTTTGAAAATTTGACCTCAGGTCATGACCCAACCGGAAAAGGTCATGTTGCATGCCAGTCTATCCGTATCGTCGAGCTGAGCACATCTGAGGCGTTTTCATCGCTCTAGCATATCTCTATCAAAAGTTATTGTCAAAAATTGCTGGGGACCTTTCATGATCTGATATGACCTCAGGGACATGGTCATATCATGTCCCTGATATGACAGGAGAGGTCATGGGTGCCATTTTTCGGTTCAGCTTGTCGAGTTTACCTGTTACCGATGTTTGAGAGTGTTTGAAATGACGTCCGTCCAAAAAAGGCGCCATTCAATTTTCTCCCATTGACTAATAGTGAAAAGTCGCAAAGGTGACCTGACCTTGGGTCACCGGTATCAAAAATCCGAGATTAACATTGTGTATATATTGTTACTGTAATCAATTGCTTACAGTTTCAAGACGATCGTTCAGTCAGTGTAGCTATGACGATAATTCTAACTTTTTCTCAGGCGAGGTCACTTGACGTGACCTGGACGGTGACCTGACCTTGACGCTCCACGTCGCTGTTTTTTATATATCTGCGAAAAACCGCAAGGGTGTGTTCATACTTCATACACCCCCCGGCCCAGCGCGGGTTAATAACCAAATTAAAGTTTCCCTAACGAAAACTATATGATTCGACGCGGCAGGAACTGGCAAACCCGATGCTGCAAGACCGCACCTCTGCGCTCATCTTAGCTATTCGAACATTTGCTTCGCCTCGAAAGAAAACAGCTAGGTCTGGCGAAGGTTGGCATGCGATGATGACGATGAGCCACCAGCCAGCCGCCGCGCTGTGGGGGGGGGGGGGAGGGGAGGGCAACTAATTGCCCCCTGTACTTCTCCGACGATATCGTCGCAATGCGAAGAGATAGAGAAGCGAAACTTTGCGCACATATTCCTGAATAGCTAGCCAAGGTTGTGTCCAAATATGGTGTCGACGATCCAATTTAAATCGACGTCAAAGTGCGTAGCGACGTCAGAAGTCTAATCATAGACTGGAGTTTCTCAGTTTCCTCACGATATATATTATATCCGACATATAGGACCGAACCATAGACCACTATATATCCAGACCAGATATATAGTGGTCTATGACCGAACATATAGGCCTGAAAAATGGTCAGGAACTAGTTACGGAGCGAGCGAAGCGAGCGTAGTCTTTCCTTAGATTAACGGAAATTTCTGAGTATGAGCGGCCGGCCGGCCGGCCGGCCGTGGTCACGCTTTTGCGAGGCTTATATCTCAGCAACCACTTGACCGATTTACATGCGGTAAATTTTGTAGGGTAGCTTCATTCCTTCTACCAAGTATTGGACTATTCCCGATGCATGTGGGTGACCCCTTATGCACGTGCCACGTGCAAAACGAAGAGGTGTCAGTTTTGTAATTGTTGCAATATCTCGGTAACTACTGGGCCGATTGCGCTGAAAGTTGGCATGTAGGTAGGCACCCACTAGGCACTGCATATCCATGTGCCAGAGTTGGGGTGCTGCTGCACGTGCGCACGTGCAGGGGTCGTTTCCAGATCTCGAGAACGGCTCGACCGATTGCGCTCAAATTTGGTACACAGTTAGGGACCGGTTAGTAGGGTGCCGTGCACAAGTCAGTTGGGACCCATTTTGCACGTGCGCACGTGCAGGGTGCCGCTTCCAGATCTCGAGAACGGCTGGGCCGATTGTGCCCAAATTTGGCACATCGCTAGAGACCGGTTAGTAGGGTGCCGTGCACAAGTCAGTTGGAGGTACCCCCTCGCAATTTCGCACGTGCAAGGCCCACCCTCTCGCTCGCTCCGTTAGTCGCCCCAAAAGGCGTTATACTGGTTAAAAGGGTACATAGATGTGTCAGGATGACAGCAGGTGCTGTTTAATTTATTTCCCGTTGCGTTTCATGCTCAGTGACATCAGAAACGCTCCATAGCGGAAAACGACAAAAGTTTCTGACGTCACTGACATCAGCTTGAGTGCTACAACCACAAAAGCTTCCTCAAATATTGCCTAGGTATTCACTTGAAGCTATAACAAGTTTCAATTTCATATCTTATCAGGTTTCGATCACGCAGAACGTAAGGGGGCAGCTTTATGCCCCCGCCGCTCGTGGGTTAAAATAAAAAAGGCAAGCAAGGTTGAGGGAAGAGCAAGGGCTTCGCGTCTGTCCGTTTTCGATCCAAGAGCACGTCTGGGATGCACCAAAGCTCTCAAGGCGGGACGCTAAGCATCCTGTCTGCTGCATCCGTCTTCTTCTGCGTGAGACGTCATGTCGATATTTTCAAAACCCAACAACAAGCGCAATTTACTAGGAGCTGCGAGAGAACCAGCATGCTATGGCTGTTTTCCTGTCCGAAGATTGTTCCGTCACTGGAACGGCTTAGCAACACGAGGGTGCTAACAGTCGACAACCACCGATCCAGCCATTCAAATGATATTCGCGGAATGCCGTTTCACAGCCAGGGCGGATTTGTAGCCAACCAAACTGAGTGGTCGGTGAAGGACGCAGACGGTGCAGCTTATAAACACACCAGCGCGCCGCTAACAACGCAGCACAATACGCACAGCGGGAGCTGGCAATAACGCAACACTTCTCTATTTTCAGTGCGTGGCAAATAACGCAACACTACAAAGATGGGAGTCCGGCTAATAACATACCTACCCAACGCTAGTTACACGCCAGCGAGCCACCAAAAGCGGAATCGCAACTGGTTGCCTTAGCCCTCTCCGTATTGGCACTTTGCCAGCCGCTAGCGTTTGGGGGGCGGGGGGAGGGAGACGACCTCCTCCCCCTCGGCCCCTCATCGAGCTAGTTTCGCCGAAAAAAAAAATGAGCGTGGTACCCGTAATGAGAGGAAGCCGATGATACCCAATTCCAAGGTCATAGGCCATTGATTAACATTCGAAGTCCGATCAATGACCCAGATGCCGGGAGCATTTGGATCCGCTAGAACTTCTTATGATGGGGTTGTGATTATTTTTCGTGGTCCTGATAAAGAATTTCATGTTAGCTTTGATCAAAGATTAAGTGATCATGTATTTGGAGTAGGTCGGGTCGGGTCGGGTCGGGTCAGCCAGTAGGCGTCCCGCTGCCTATTGGTCGTAAAAGTACCGTAACAAATCGCTAATGCATCTTCCAATCAGTTGCATTTCTTGTCGCGCTTTGAGAATATGACATCACCAGGGAGGGTCCCACTCCCTCCCCCCCCCTCCCCTAAAAGTGCGAGGTATAAAATACATGGTGGCACATTTGCCTTAGGAAACTAATCCATTGAGCCGAGCTAAACTATTAGCATGTTACGAAAATATCTTTATAAAGGAGTCATCGACCGTAATTGTCTTCCATTAGGTTGCAGCTTGATTCGTAATGCCGTTATGAACCAAGCCGAGAGATATATAAAAGCTGAACTTCCGGTGACCTGTAGTGCTGACCTTTGCTTTGAACTAAAGATAACCGTAAGAGTTCATGATTTTGGCCAAACTATCGAAGTCTCTCACGTCCACTCGTCGCTGGGCAGCCCATGTAGTCGAGCTGAAGTCTCGCATAAAGACGCCCTACACCCCCAGGCCCCCCGATGCTCGCCCCGTTTTTGACTTATTTACCCCTAGATACTTTTCCATTTGAAAGTTGTCGCAGAGTTTATGCACATAACCGTATTACGTTCGGCATTTATGTGTTTATGAACTTGCTTTCGTTGCATTTACCTCATTATACATAGAATCGGCTGTATCGTGTCAGTGTGCTAACGACTAGTTGCATCTCTCCTAGCTCATAAATATTATTACTACGCATTCTTCCATCTTCAGGACGTGGAGCTTAGCACCGATGAACAGGCAAGAAGCACTCAGTGTGTAGTCGTAAGCCGCCACTTGCGATAAATAAACCACGTAATCCATCGTACAGTCACTCTTGAAAATACCGATACACTGTGCGACGGTGCCATCGAGCCGAACGAAGGAGCGCTGCAAAGTCTGAGAGTCACCGAACCAATTGACCAGGGGAATAGATGGGATGCCGGGGAGGAGGGGGAGAGAGAGGGTCGAACCGATTTTAGCCGCCGGTTTACCGGAAACTCCGTTCCGCTTGTATCGGACGTTACGGTAAGAGACTGTGCCTGAAAATACGATACGTAGGGTAACGAAAGAAGTGACAAACACTCGCTATTAAACCGACATTTTTAATGCGTAACTAAAAAAACACTTAACTAAAATTAACTAACTAAAATTATTCAGCCTGGTTCATTCAGCTGAGTGAGACACGAAAAAAACCTGATCACTGCGTATCGCCACATAACCACTGGCTCCGTAATCCGTCTCCATACCTGCCGACGCGCGCGCCGACTTGCTCTGCTGCGGGGTCGTCTCGGGCTCCTTGAGGTCGACGGCGCGGCTCTGGTTCAGCTTGGTCTCCCACAGCGTCTTCAGCTCCTGCAGCACCTGTTCGTCGACGCCCTCGTCCAGGAAGAAGCTGCGCACGGCCGCGATGGTATCGTTCACCACCGACTTGTAGACCTGACCCTGCGGACGGCGCGGGTCGACCGGGTCAGAATGAGAGCGGCTCAGCTGGGGTGGTCAGAGGTACAGACAGGGGAGCAGCTGTGAACAGCTCCACATAAAACTTCATCCCAAACACCCCGGACTCGTCGAATCAACCATTTCAGATCATGATTATTTTTTAGGGTATCTAGCTAGCAAATACCTTTTCAGATAGCTAGCACGCTAGAATGAATGAGTCATACCAGCCATTCATACACCTCACAATCGATGCAAGAAAGAATGTGACATTGGTTCTTGAGATTTTTAGCAACCAGTTAGAAACAATGAGAGTCAAATGTATTGCTAAGTGTGTGTTAACATGTAAACTAAGACTCTGAATATGCATAGAAAACCTGGCTTATTTCACATAAGTATGCTGTTTTTGTGTCAGGGTGGATTTTGGCTTATCAGGTAGAGTTGGTTGCCATCCACTTGTAAATGTCTGCTGCATTGAGGCTTCAAATGTGAGAAAGCATTTTTTACTCAAATACAAACTGTGTGATGAATGCATTCTTTTGCTATCAGACTGTTGTATTTGATGTTGAGATGTCCTGTGATAAGCCCAGCCATTTACATACTGCAAGCATACATAGCTTATCTTCTCACTACATCAGCAAAGCTTCTTGAGCTGCAACTTGAAAAATTCTTCAGGAAAAACAAACCTTATTGCTAAATCAGGATTAATTGCAAAATCAAAGTTAGATTGGCAACCACAGGGAGGGGAAAGAAGAAAAGAAAAGGGTCTATGGTGGTGTAGCTCAAAAGGAACACATCAGAAGAAAAAGGGTCTATGATGAAATTTATCACACCTAGCTAAGGCATGTATGCAAGAGACTACCACAAATAACTATGATCACAAGTAACAACTGAGAGGTAAAACTTATCTTCTCTCCTTATTTTAATCCCACATTCATCCTAACTGCAGCCACCTCAACGCATCACCCCAAACATTCAAATATTAAAAAGTAAAGCATAACAGAACAAGAACAGACAATCAAGCAAACCCACCCAGATCATAAACCTTAGAGAAACAAATCAGCTGTCAGGGTGGCAACCACCTTTTGACCACTTATCTCTTCTGAACTTATCCTAACCTTTAATTCTTACATCAAACTAACAGGTTCTTAACCTCTTTTAACTTAAATTTTTGACTACAACCAATAAACAACAGCATCTGTTTTCTTCCCTCAAGATCATGCATAAAAAATTACTCAATATATAAACGAAAAATATTTCCACACTCTTTGAGAAGCAGTGGTACCTATTATCACTGCCCCTCAAATTCATCAACAAGTTTTATTGTTATTGGAACGCGTAACTATCTACACTCATTAGTGTGAACTCGAGCTTTCCACGCAGCTGAGGTAAGGGGCCATTTTTATCACATTTTCCTGAATAATAAATATCCTTTATTACCAATAGCTAATTATGATCACAGGTTCAAGAAACACTTTATTTCACTACACCTCATAATAGCCTAGCCATGGCATGCCACGCGCTCGCACCAATGAAAGGGTTTGGACGTCCTTTACATAGCTTAAATTGACATATGGCAAACCATTCACTGAAATAACATATATTACATTATTTTCTTACCACAATAGCATGCGAATGGCAATGCACATGAGACATGATTGCGGGGACAAAATGGCGACGGCCACCCGGAATGTAAATCCCGGAACCCGCACGGAACTCGCCACAAGACGATCACTTATATACGCCGTGGCACAGCCTTCGGGGTACTAGGGCTGAAACTTCCGTATATAATAAAATTGAGCATTGTTGTACAGAATGTACATATAAATAAAATAAATAAAATCTACTGATTAAAAGAAAATGCTAAACAGCTTCCTATTTTTTTAAAACTCAGTCATCTTTTATCTTATGTACAAATGTGTTTCCAACAAATTTGTCTGACAGCCTTTGCTCAAATCGTAAGCAGAGTTGCTTACAAAACTAGCGCAGCTGAGGCATAGCCTGTTATATATTCTTTGCATTGAGTCATGTTCTCTCTTCACGGTGAACGACCGGAAGCGTAATATGGTCAGGAAAATGTCGCTTGATCTGTGCAGCTCATTGGCTAATAAGGCGCTGTCATGGCAACTCGGCTTCAAGGCAGCTTCAACAGGTTTAGGTCGTGATCTAGCGAACAGCATTTCTTCTCAAGTAACAACAACCGCGTATGCCCGTACGTTGCCCGTACTGGCCCGTACGTTACAACGGTTACAACACGCACAGGACGCACAGACTCGAAGAGGTATGGGATGGAGCGTTTCAATTTATTGTTTTCTTTTTTCTGTTTGCTGTGCAGAATTTGTATTTCTGCAATTGCAATGGACCATGGGGTACAAATCTTAATATCACTTAAACGCAGGGATGCGGAGCCGTGGAAATTTCAGACGGCTCCGGCTCCGGCTCCGGCTCCGGAGAAAAAAATCGGCTCCGGCTCCGGCTCCGGCTCCGGGTGAAATGTTATGGCGGCTCCGGCTCCGGCTCCGGCTCCGAGTAAAATGGTCCGGCTCCGGCGGCTCCGGCTCCGGCGGCTCCGGCTCCGACTCAGTACATCCCCTACGCAATCAATTAAATACGGGTGGAAGAAAAATTGGATTGGTTATACGCGTTACTCTTTGCCATGACCGCCTCACCGCGTCCCCGCGCAAACGCACCTCGGAGAGAACTGGCAGAACAAAGGGCTAGGAAGCGATGGCATTGGAAACGCAGTCGCCGCGAATCGGAGTTCAGTGAACCATCGTAAGCTGACACCCGTCTCGGCTGCATTGGGGGTGAGGGGTGGGGGGTGTGTGGGATGAGACGGTGCTGGGAGTCGCAGTCCACTGCACTGGTTTGAAAACAATGGCCGTCACCTGATGACTGGTCCTCATGTTCAGGGGATGCAGTAGACGTGGGGGGGGGGGGGGGGGGGAAGAGCAAACAGGAAGTTGTTTGCGTACTGTGGGATACTGGGGATATTCGGATTTTTTCATTCACTTGATGGCCCATGACGTAAGTACCATATGTTTTACTGCCTTGTACTGTCAAACCGAACTAGGTCAATTATTATTTTTTTTCCTCTTCAAAAAATAAAAAGGAGCCGGAGTCGCCCCCTTTTTTGGCGGCTCCGGCTCCGGCTCCGGCTCCGGGCTATTTTGTTTCACGGCTCCGGCTCCGGCTCCGGCTCCGGGCAAAATATGCCGGCTCCGGCGGCTCCGGCTCCGACTCCGGCTCCGGCTCCGCATCCCACGAAAGTAAAGGCTGCCGGTCCTAAAGTAAATAAATACCCAAATTGCATGTGGCGTACCTAGGTAGGTATTGTTCTGAACCGGTGGTCGTAGAAGGATGGAAAAAGCGGTAATCAAAAGCTCTCAACAATATGGATCATTAGGGCAAACATTTTTGCCTTAGTAGGTCGATGGAACCCAGAGGCCAGGTCAAGGTCTCGTCAAGTTCCTACAGTATCAACTTTGGAGCGCAGCTGGCAGAGAATGGATTGAGATTGATTATCTGAAACATGTACTTAGGCTGCCAAGGCAAGATTTGTTGCATAAAATGTCATGCAAAGGTCAATGTCAAGGTCAAGTCAGGTCACCAAAAGCAAAATATAGAATAGGACAAGTTTGATGCATGTTTATAGGCCATTTTATTCCTAAAACTCAACAGGCACAGTGACATGGAACACATTTGGATGAGTCTCAGCCTCAGGTTGAGGTCAGGTCAAGGTCAGGTCAACTGAGGTGAAACTTTGAAGTTGATTTCCAGGAAGTTGATTGCCAGGAATGTGGTGTGGTGCGTGTTAGGTAAATGTCAAATGACATTACTGTAACACAAAGTGACTTTGCTAGTATCGCTAGTTACCCATGATGTGAATGTTGTTTGGTAATTGGTGCCTTCATCTAATCCTGCAATTTTATTTTCAAAGTTTTATCGCTGCTCATCATTTTCTATATTTTCTAATAATTCTTTTCCTTTATGCCCTTGCCTTGCAAAAAAAAACTTGCAAAGTGAGTAGTACCTAAACTCCAGTCTTGACTGTTTGCTTGGAACTGTTGCAGATCGGATGAACGTGAAAATGAGCAGACATGACAAGTGAAGAATCTCCAAATATACCCTTGGCTCGACTCGACAGCGATATGAGACATGTAGACGACCTACCAACAGAAATACTGTTACACATCCTATCGTTTCTCAGCCTACGTCAATTGCTCGCCGTGGAACATGTGTCACGGCGCTGGCGAGACGCCTTCGACACGTGTTTGTCCCGTCTTCGCGACTTTACCATGCACTGGCCGCACGCACTCACCGACCGGTGTCTCGAGCTGCTGCTACCTCGGATGTCCGCCCTCCGCGTCATCGACATCGAAATCTACGAACATGACTCGCTGTACGTACAAATCAACAAGCTCGACCTGCACATCGTGGCCCACCACTGTCCGCTGCTGAGTGAACTCAACCTGAAGGCTTTCCGCGTCTCGGAGCCCACGCTGCAGCGGCTTTGTCTGCGCTGTCCGCGTCTAGAGGTGGTTACCATGAACAACAACTGCAGCGACGAATGCGTCAAGGTGATGGTGCTGAACCAGCGGCGGCTGCGCTCGCTCACCATCTGCAGTCCGGCAGGCAGGTGCGAGTGGCTGGCCACGCTGCCCGCCTCGGTGCAGCGGCTGACACTGCACCACTGGCGCGAGCGAGAGCCGGGCTACATAAAACACGTGGCGCAGTGCCCCAACCTGCGCGAGCTCGATCTGTCGTTCAGCACCATCCAGTTCACGTCGCACCTGAAGCTGGTGCTGACCGGCTGCGTGCAACTGCAGCGGCTGGTGCTGGCAGGAACGTACTGGTACCGCAGCAACTCGCGACTGGCGACACTCCTGGAGGCGGCGCCGGCCTCGCTGCGCGAGCTCGACATCTCCGACGTGACATCTGTGACGGCGGAGGACCTGGCCGCCGGCCTGGCCAGCTGCACCCGCTTGGAGCGTCTCTCGGCCGCCGGCCTGGTGCTGCCGCCCGAGGGCTGCCTGCCGGTCACCGGTCTGCCGGCGCTGCGGCACCTGAACCTGCGCCGCGCAGAGGCTCTGACCGACACCACGCTGCGGCGGCTGCCGGCGCTGCTGCCGGGCCTGTACACACTCAACATCAACTTCTGCCGGCTGGTGAGCGAGGAGGGGCTGCGCTGTGTGCGCGAGCTGCCGCAGCTGCGCGCACTCCACCTGGCCGGCGTGCCGTGCGTCTCGAGCGACGTGCTCGACTGCCTGGGAGACCAGCCACTGGCCGAACTCGAGCTGGGCTGCTCGGAGACATTCCCGAAACAGGTGGGCGCCGAGGCGGTGCAGAGCCTGGTGCTGCGCTGCGCCAAGCTGCGCCGACTCACGCTGTACGACCGGCTGAGCCGGGTGCGGGCCGTGGTGCATGCGCTGGCCGGACAGTTAGCTCGGGAGCGGACGGTGACGCTGGTGCTGTACCCGGGCTTTCCGAGTCGGCTGCCGCGGACTGACGGCCCTCTGCGGCTGACCGATACGGCCTCCCTGCGTCCACCCAGGGTGTGACCCCGGGCCCGGGGGCGCCGGCACCCCAGCTGTGACCGCCCGCCGCGCACGTGATAGCTTTAATACGATTTGCTAGTGCAATTACTGAACGACAGATCAATGAGTGGCTGCTGAAATGGCGACATGCGCATACGTATTGCTTTAATATTTTAAGCATTTTGTGTCGTGCCGCTGCTGAGAAGCAGTGTGTGATGAACGTAACTACTTGTTATATTTATTAGAGAATCCCAAAGTGATGGGCAGGGGCGATAACTTGCTGTCCCGCAGCGTCGGAATTTTCGTTATATCTTGAATGATGTTCTATTGTTGAAATGGATTTTGTTTATCGTTATAGCGCGGATGGAATGAAATGTCTATGCTCTTGAAAGTTGAACGAAAAGTTGAAATGCACCTTTATTCGCCGCTGCACCTACTTCTCTCGCGGCAGCCTTTCAGGGTCTACCCCATCGGCTGTTATATAGTCATTCTTAACGAGTGCTAAGACGCGTACTCATAGCCAATTATCCGAGAATGAATTTTGCGTAGATCTGATGTGCAGATGAAATATCCATGGCAGTGGTTTGTGATACTTTCCTCCTTATTTTTGCTTGTAACAGTTCAGTTTTAGGTGGTCGATATTATTGCATCGGTGCTCATCGTTTTGACCGGAATAACAATTTAGATATTGTTTATGCTATTGTGCTGTGATCCTGTTACTTTATGCCTTGTTGCAGGAAACGATGTCATAATATGTTTGCTGGTGATGTTTGTTTTCCCCTCATCCCCAGAGCTTATATCAAATACATTTACTATTACTGACAAGACTAAAGAATTGTCTAAACGTGCGTAGAGTCATGGTTGTGAAACATTTCCCAGTGGGATTATGCTTGCTGTGCCTGATTCTGATGAAGACACAGCTTTGACGGGCGAGGCATTCGGTACCCATCTATGTTCGTAATTAGTCTGGGAGGTACCTATTATTGGAGACTAGAGTACGGAAGAGTGCAGAAAAAAATATCCTCATCCTGATATAGGCAGTTCGATGATTGCATGCCAACATTTCAGACTTGAAACTTGCTCGCGATAGCTGCTATAAACCTGCATCGGAATGTCAATATATTAAATGGTTTTAAATACGCACGTCACATGAATAAGGAATATAGCTGAAACTTGCACAGCCGATAATAAATAACAAAAGCTTAATCAAGAGCATACCATCAAGTCCCATAGGTCCTACAGCGGCCATAGCAAATAACACTAGGCGATGAACCATGGTAAACGCTTCTGTGGGACGGATTTCAATAGAACTGACAAACAAACCGACTGCATAAAACGATCAGCTGCCAATATTACAACAGACGCCCTACAAAAATTCACAGCAATTGACTAATGAGCATGATAGCACGGATCTAATCGCCATTGGCTCGTCATTAACTATGCGGACCGTGCGCCGAAGCACGCTCGGAAGCTGATCCGACTCTGCACGAGTGGACCAAGCATGGCAGTGGCGCCACCTACCAACTAAAGGCGACGCAAGCTCGTTAATCCGTGCACCGCTCGTGGCGTACCGGAGCCTGCCACAGCCTGCTGGCCAGCTTCGTACGCTGGGCGACATCTCTAAGACGCGTTGCATTTTCTGGCACATAATTGGCTGAGTGTGTGTAATGAATGACGGACTTTGGCGTACCCCCACGAGCCACCGCCAATGACCTTGGAGTGTGGGCGCCCCTCGTTACTCGAGACTCCGACTGTGGCGTGCGTCGCCTGTTTCTAACTCGTTTATCTCGATCAGCGGCGACTCTCCCATTGGATCCACCACGCCGCAGTCTCCTAGACCGCCTTGGCCAGCTTCAAGGCACTGTTTTGCTCTCGCACGGCGTCTTTGGCGGCCTCGATGAGCGGGCAGAGACTGGTCAGGGGCCGACTGGCCTTCAGGAACGGATGGCGCAGCAGCTCGGCCGCCGACGGGCGCCGCTCCACGTCTACCTCCAGGCACAGGTCGAGGAACTCCTGGAACTGCGGCGACAGCTTGTCGCGGTCCTTGATCTCGGGCCGGCCGTTGGTGGCGATTAGGTAGAGCGCCTTCAGCGGGTTCTCGTTGAGGTAGGGCGGCTCGCCCTCCAGCATCTCGATGGCCATGATGCCTAGCGACCAGACGTCGACCTTGGGTCCGTACTGTTTGCGTGTGACCACCTCCGGAGCCATCCAGTAGGGCGTGCCCACCATCGTGGTCCGCTTGCTCTGCTCCGGCGAGATCTGCGCGCAGAATCCGAAGTCGGTGATCTTGACGGCGCCGTCCGTGCCCAGCAGAATGTTGTCCGACTTGATGTCCCGGTGGATCACGTGGTTCATGTGCAGGAACTGCAGAGCCTGCAGCACCTCGCGGCACACGGCCGCGATGTGGCCCTCGTCCATGCAGGTTTCAGTCACCACATCCGTCAGCGAACCGCCCGGCAGGTACTCCATCACCACCCACAGCTCCTCGCCCACCAAGTAACTGTCCACGTAGTTCACCACGTTCGGGTGTTTGTTCTCGCGCATGACGACGATCTCGTTGATGATGAGCTCCTTCTTGGGCTGCTGGGAGAGGTTCATCTGTTTGATAGCCACCTCGCAGCCGGTGGCCGTCTCGACGGCTGTGTGCACCACACCGGACGCGCCCTGCCCGATCTTCTCCATCTTGGTGTAGCGGCGCAGCGGGTCGCCGATGGTGACGATGCTCCGCAGACGCGCCAGGATCTCCTCGTCGCTCAGCTTGGGCCTCCGCGGCGTGTCGCGCGCCGCCGGAGTCGGCGCCGCGCCCTTGGCCGGAGCTGCCGGCTTTCCGTTGGTGACTGGCGAGCCGGCCGCCGCCGCCGGCTCCTCGGGAGCCAGCGGCTGCGTGTACACCGACTTGGTCCTCTCCGGGCGGACGGCTACCGGAGGAGGCGGGGGCGCCGGCTCCTCCTCCTCCGGCTCCGGCTCCTCCGGGAACTTGTCGCGCTCCGACTCCGGGTCCGGGTCGGCGGTGTCCGGAGTGCTGGTCGAGCCGGAGTGGTCCGAGCCGGAGCGGGCGCCATCGGCCCGCGCATCCGCCGGCCCGACGGCCAGACTGGCACGCGGCGGGTCGCGCTCCTGCTCCCACAGCGGGTTGTGCTCCGTGGTAGGCACCATGAACTTGGTCTGGTCGCCGTCCTTGTTACTGGCGTCGTAATAGTTAAGCACGTTGATGAGCTCGTCCGGGTGCTGGCGCTGCTCCTGGATGGAGATGTTGGCGGAGGCCAGCAGGGACACCCACTGCGGCGGCATACCGCTGAACTCACCCGTCGCCGGGTCGAAGCCCACGTGCACGGCGTGCTCAAAGTTGGTCGGGTACGAGATCTCCGGTTTGTCCGTGTGCCGTTTGGTCGGCTTGGCCAGCCGAGCGCGCCGCCGCCGCTCGGCGTCCGGCTCGCGCGGCAGCGGGGGCAGCGGCAGTCCGCCGGCCTCGCCTCCGAACCGCACGCTGGCCATGCGGACGGGCGGCGCCGGCGGCAGCTCGTCGTCGGCCATCGTGGAGGTGCTGCGGAATATCTTCGGCACCAGCTTCGGCACGGCGTCTGCGAACAGAGCGAGTGGACATCAGCAGGGCGAGCGGGAGACGCCAGGAGGCGGTCAGCGGACGTGCTAGGGTCGTGGACATACGACTATTACAGTGGGTCCCATTCCGTATAGCGTCAACAGGGCTTCCTTGACATGTTATCAGGATACCGTTATACGATGACAGGTAACCTTGTGTGATGAAGATGTCAAATGATTTATAGTTGAACGATTCTTTCATCGGCTTCCATTTCAAACATAATACGTAATTTCCAACATTTTCACAATGTACCTATGGTCAGGACTTGAATCACTTTGTGGCTGCAATGTGTAAGTCCCCTTAGTCCGATGTGTTTTGGCCTACTTAGTTTGGTCTTGTTCTTGTCCTCTTGCTATATTGATAAGCAATCAAACAAAATGAGTCAATCTGAAGCCGTGAGTAACACAAATAACGCCTTATCTTCAGTGAAATGCCAGTCGCCTTCCGGAAAAAAGTGGAGTCAATGGCTCCTTTGTGCATGCCATTACGGTTGATAGAAGTCTAGGTATCAGTGCAATCAACACGATATGTGCCATTCCCAGCATACAGGCCAAGCGAGAGGGATCCGAAGAAAACGCCTTCTTGAAATAATGATCCTATTAGAATCTAACGATACCTACAGATTAATGAACAATTAAAACTTATGAAAAATTATACCTCATATGCCTAACATGTGGGGGGCCGGCTGGCGGCTCCAGTAAAACACACATCTTGGAAAATGTTTTTGTCGACGAACGATCGAAATCGAATATGCGACTAGACTTATCACATGATACAAGTTTTTGCACACAACCTACTATATAGCAAGAAGTGTAGAACCGAGAAAGCGAGAAAGCGGAGAAGGGGATAAGGACACATTATTGATACAAAGTTGTGACATAGGTTATCACACAGGACGTAGAAGTTAGAGAGCGATTACGAGTTTTATAAGAAACGACACTATTTTCAGAAGTGCGACGTACTGAGCACCCGAGAGTAGCGAAGCGCATTCGATGGATCTGCGGACACATTCACAGGCGTACCGCCCGGACATTCTTGAACGAGAGTTACAACAAAGAGCGGAATCGTCCCGGCTGAAGCCGCCGCCAGAGTCAAGTCGCCTGTGGTCGCCACTGAACCCACCTCTCCAGCGGAGCACGGAGGCCACGTCACCGGGGTCGGAGGTGCTGCGCGGCCGCGCCGGCCGCCTGGACGCGCGAGCTGCCTTCATCGTCCGCTCGGACCCGGGCAGAGACCCCACTCCACTCAGCAGACCGCCGACACTCCTCCTCCAGCTGCCGTCACCGCCGACCGTCCGCACTGCGTCCCTGTAACTGCCGCTGTATGCTATCGACACTCCCTCCGCCCTAGGCGCGTCCGGCCCACCTGAGCGGCTGGCGGCGTCTCACCAGCTGAGCACGCCCGGCTATCAGCCGCGCCGACACTGTGCCCCGGTGACTGGCGGTTGCCGAGCGGCGTGGGAGCCTCCCAGAACCGATAACACCCGCTCCGCTCGAGTAGCCGGATTTTGTCGAAAACACCGAGCTAGTACCAAACACTTGCGATTCCAACACCTGCAACGTCTACGATTTTCAATGATGCAAACTGCATTGACCTGACCCAATGCAGTGATTATGGAGACTGGAGTGCAACCGCCAATGGCATATTTTTAACAATACAATGTCAAAATATTTTATCAAGCATACGTCAACCGAGAAAATAGTCAAAAAGTTTGATACAATTCAGGAGAAAGACGTAAAACAAAGTGTTAGCAGCCAAAAGCCAGTACTCCAAGGACAAGAACTGTAGCTGATCCACTCATCAAGCGACAAAAGTGTCGTCGCCGATATCACATGATAACGTTCCGCGAATGTGATGTGGCGAAGGAATCCTGAGACACGATTCCTGAATCACTGATGTGAGACATGCACTGCTGATAAATCCAGCACCGGAAGGACGATAGGTATGTGATAAGAGTGGTGGGAAGAGGTGAGAGAGACCTTGGGAGGACAGAAACGGAAACGGATCCTGACATTCAGTCGAATCTGGATCCTAGTTTCAGACGACCATTCTTACATGTATTTCTAACCGTCTTCCTACATATCTTTCCAACGGTCCGTGTGCAAAACGAAATGCATCCGTGTCGGCAATATTCGTCGAACAGATGGTCGCACCATCTCCGGATTGTCGAATTTGAATAGAAGACTGATCCAGTCATTAAAAATCACAACTCCGACTGAAAAAAATGTTTCACCGATCGTTGGAGGGCTGCACCAAGGCTGCACGCTGTTTCACCACTGTTTCGAAGATGGAACATGTCGCCTGACGTCCGGAAGAGCGCAGGGCGCAGCGTAAAAACACTATACTTGGGTTCAGGTCAAGACTGTTACACAGGAGCTGAAATACCGCTATAATGTGCCTTTTTTGGCGACCATGGTAAAGCGAAGGTAGCTTCAGGGCTTGGAATCAGATTGGAATTGGGCGAGGCGGGTGACGCGCGACCGGGGACCAGCTTTGTTACCAGTCTCTACAAACCCCAACCTACAAACCTACAGCACCTCTCGGCTCTCCTTGGTAGGAAAACCTTATATGACGTCAGCTCTACTAATGCCCAATAGAGTTGCAGCGTATATATATATGCTGCAACTCTATTTAGCCTTAGGCATTTATATAAATGCTATATAAATGCTATAAATGCATTTATATAAATGCTAAAGCCTCCTATGGAAATGAAAATTGTTCTTCTATTTCAGTTTTGTCCAGAAGACAAAGAAAATCTGAAAAAAACAAAACATACACGAGCGACGACGAAAAAAAAACTTACCTTACCTTACCTTACCTAACACTATCGGGAATTTTGAAAGGCACTCGCCTGTAGGTCCCGCTCTCGTCGAGCTCGTGACTGGTGATCATCTCTAGTCCTCATGGGTAGGCATCTGATACATCAGATTGGCCCAGTGCTTGTCGAGTCTGGATTTGAAGGCGTTGAGGGATGGGGCCTGGACAACAGATGCAGGGAGGGAGTTCCAGTCATTGATCGCTCGAACAGTGAAGAGTTGTCTTCTGGCTCTTGACTTGGCATGTGGTTTGTACAGCTTCCAGGGATGGCCACGGTTGGACCTCGCGGACGCATGCTTGACGAACTTGTCCGAGTCGATATCGATCTCGTTATGCAGCAGCTGGTACATTCCAATCATGTCGCCGCGACGTCGTCGATGGAGCAGCGAAGGAAGCTTCAGGCACTTCAATCTCTCGGTACATGGCTTGCTCCTGATGCCGGGCACTAGTCGGGTAGCGTGCCGTTGGACTCGCTCCACACGCTTGATGTCTGCTCGATTGAAGGGGCCCCATATGAGGTTGCCGTATTCAAGATGTGGCCTGACGAATGACTTGAACAAAATCGGCAGGGTGATCTCGTCGAGGTTCGAGAACGACCTCCGGATCAGGGATAGGATCCGTGAGGCCTTCGACACAGCTGAGGAAGCCTGCCTCCTGAACTTCAGCTCCGGGTCGATGAGGACACCCAGATCTCTCTCGGCTGAGGTAAAGGCAAGGCTGACACCGTTGATGGTATAGGAGTGACCTGAGTTTCTGGCCCCAACATTCAAAGACGCGCACTTGTTCTGGTTGAACGCAAGCTGCCACTGCTCGGACCATGTGGTGAGGGCATCGATGTCGAGCTGGAGCAGGGATGCATCACTGGCAGTGTCAATGCTGCGGTAGGTACAGTTTTGTGTCATCAGCAAAAATCTTGATGCAGGACCTCACCTTGTCAGGAATGTCGTTAATATACACGAGGAACAGAAGGGGCCTAATACAGAGCCCTGTGGCACCCCGCTGGTGACAGGAGACCAGGTGGAGTGACGGCCTTGTACGACTCGTTGTTGTCGGTTGGACAAAAAAGATCTGATCCACTCTAGGAGGAGTCCAGTCACACCACATGCTCTCAGCTTAGCGAGTAGGCGTTCGTGAGGGACGGAGTCAAAAGCCTTTCGGAAGTCCAGATATATGACGTCAACAGGGCTCCCATCTTCAATCGCACGGCTCCAGTCATCTAGGACTTCCAGCAGCTGAGTCGTGCAGGATCGGTGTGGGCGAAAACCATGCTGGTGACGCGACAACAGTCCGTTCGAGGTGAGGTATTCCATCAGTTGGTCCCTTACTAACGACTCCATGACCTTGCACGTCACCACAGTCAGGCTGATTGGACGGTAATTCTCTGGTCGTCTTCTGGGTATATGTCAAGTTTAGGTCCTAACTACAATTGTGGCGCTTTTGATACGAATATGAAACAGCAAAAATTTTAGGTTTTAGGTTAGGTTAGGTTGTAGGTTTGTAGGTTTTAGGTTGTAGGTAGGTAGGTTTGTAGGTTAGGTTAGGTTAGGGTAGGTTTGTAGGTTGTAGGTTGGTAGGTTATAGGTAAGTAGGTAAGGTTAGGTCAGGTTTGATTATGTTTTTTTCTTTTATTTGCGAGACATATGAGTATCATTTTTGGATTCAGGATGTCAAATAATGTATAAATATGAAAAATTTATCAATGAACTCTTCTTAGGACTTAAACTTGACATTTACCTTCTTCTGTCTCCCTTTTTGAAGATGGGCACTACTGTGGCAAGTGTCCAGAAAAACGCTTCTTACAGGAAGATATCTTCTTTTTTAAATGTGTATAGTTTTTTATATCTATCTGTATATTGTTTACCACGGTATACCTTTATAAGATATAATAAAGAATATCACAAAAACCTGAGGGGTGTTCACGGGCACCGCACACTGCTGCGTGCGCTGTGTGCGGTGCGTCCAGCAGGCGTGGGGGTAGGGGATGGGTAGGCGGTTCTGACGTCACGGCTGCGTGCGGTGGACGGTCCGCTGTGGCCAGTCCCGACCGGCCACAGCGATCGCTGTGTGCGGTGACGGAAGGCTGACGTAGGGACGCAGTGGGCGGAGCTTGGAGGCTGTGTGCGGTCCGACCGCACACAGGGCCCGTGAACAGCCCTCTGACAAAAGTTCAACGCAGAGTCTAACCCCGCGTTCGATGTCTCTCGGACGACGAAGATTCTACGCCGTCCGCCCAATCACGTTCCATAACCGCAGCCGAGCCCCCACTGACCTTGGACGGGATTGGCCGGACGACGTAGAATCTTCGTCGTCGGAGAGACATCGAACGCGGGGTAAGTTAGCATTTTGTCATTCATGCGCCGTTTTTGTAAAAATTCTAACTTATTCCTTTTTGAAAATTTGTGAGAATTAAGTGACGTACAAAGAATGAGAAACCGTTAAATAAAAATGAAGGATAGATAAAAAATATGAAGCATGAGAAATAAAAGATTAAGTGAATGAAAAATGAAAAGATGTTGTTCAGACGAAAAATACGATAACATACAGTAAGTATCTTTTTGAAGTAAAGAAGGGTGTTGCACTTTCATTACAGAGCTTCTTTTGATTGGGTCACCTTGATGATGTAATAAAAACAAAGTGAAATGTTTAATATTGATCGTCTATGGCTATGGTCATTCCGTTTGCTGCGTTTGCTTGAACGTGCGTTGTGGTGTGCTGGGTGATTGCCTTGTTGCCCGTGTGTGTGTTGTTGCGTAGAGTGGACGGTGGAGTAGCACGCAGGGCAAGGAACTTATACGGCCTTGGGGCAAGGCGATATCGCAGGGAACGGGTGCGAGGAGCGCGTGCGGCGCGTGGTGAAGTTAGAGGGCCTTGATGTAAGGTGAGAGAACAGAGGGGTGTCAGTGTTTAACATATCCTTCATAGAGAAGAGTTCCGTCTCCCATAGGCGGCGGAGCGAGGGGGGCACCGGCACCGTGCCCCCCTTTGCATTTGATTTTGGCATTTTAGCATTAGCCCTATGGGCGTTGCATGGAAAGAATGGGACCAAATAACTTACCTTTGCGGTAATCGGATTTAAAAGGCCACTGGGCCTGGGGATCCCGCCCACATGGAGCTCGTGACAGGATATACAGGCTTGAGGCTGGGCTCCTGACTGGAAAAAATACACGTTATGCCGAATATGTCTGGCGTAGTGGCGGGATTGCGCCGAAAATTTCTGCGCACGTCCGGCGTAACTTCACATGCACCAAATTCAGCGCATGGCGGTGGACGAATTTTTCAGCGCAGGGCGGACGCATAATTTTTTGGCGAAAGACGGTCACCGAATTTATGCGTTACGCTGGGCAGCAGATTCACCCTGCGGGCGGCTCTGGAGAGGTTTCTGGACGAGACGTCCCCGCCCCGGTCGTCGCGTGCTCGAACTGGCGAGCCGCCCTGAGTCTAGTAGGTACCTACTCAGCGGAGGAGCTGCCGCCCAGGTGAGGCTTCAACCCTTGGCGTGGAGGTAGGTATGGAAGAACTTGTTGAACATCGCCAAGCGTCGTTAAGCAATACTGCAGTGGGTTCCTGCCCACTGTGGTATCAAGGGGAATGAGAGCGTGGATGACCTGGCAAAACAGGCGGCCGCCCTGCCCTCAAACGCCCGCTCGCTGACCAGGGCGGTTCATTGTGCGGCGGCCTCGCATCAATGGCGCGACAACTGCTCAGAATCACTATTCAAGCCACTCCTCAGGAGTACGCCGCCGCTCCCTATACCCGGAGAGGACCAAGAGAATGCTGTTTCGTTGCACCAGATGAGGGTGGGCCACCGGGGCCGCTCGCTCCAGTACGGCACCGAATCGGCTGTCTCCACTCCGCGGCGTGCCAGCAGTGCCCTGAAAAGCGGTGCCCAGTGGCGCTCTGCACCGTGAGCCGAGAAGAGGCTGTTGTGCCGGAGCACGTGATGCTCCGTTGCCCGGCCCTCGCTGGCTCCCGCCAGCCTCGAGCACACTGCTCCGCCGATATTTGTGGTCCCGGAACGCACGACTCCGGCTTTGTTTCACGGCATGAAAACTAGAGTGTGCTTAGAGTTTTGAGGCATTGGGTTTCCGTGGAAAAAAACTCATTCGGACGCTCAAACATGGGAGAGTGTACAAGACCCCGGAACACCCTGACTGGTTGATATTTGATCAGTAGATAGATGTGCACATGTGCGTTACCTACATAAAAAGGGCTTAATTTTCACATAATGGGGACCACATTTTTGGTGCAAATCACGCAGAAATTTCAGCGCAAAATCGCTTGCGCCAAATTTCGGCACAAGAGGGTCTCGGGGGCGTCCGGCGTAGTGTATGGATGTTTTCCAGTCTGGGCTGGGCTCTTAGGTGGTTTGGATGTCGAACATCGAGTCACCCCAGTGTTTATCCAGGTGAGCCTTGAACTGGTTTGCAGACTGGGCCGCCACCACTGCGTTCGGCAACAAGTTCCAATCGTTGATGACTCTATTGCTGAATGAGTTTCTGCGCACTAGTTTCAGGGCCCTGGGCTTCTTAATTCCCACTTGTGGCCTCTGGTACGACCCGAGTCACTCCGCGTCAGGGAGACTTCAGGTGGAATAGCCAAACCGCCGTGGAACAGCTGGTAGGTACACCTTCACCATGTCACCTCTATGTCTCCGGTAGTACAGGGATGGCAATCCAAACCGACGGAGCCGTTCAGTGTACAGGAGGTGCCTGATCGCGGTGACCATCTTTGTGGCACGCCGTTGCACGCGTTCCAGCTTCTTCTGGTCGACCTTTCCGAAGGGACCCCAGATAATGTTTCCGTATTCCAGGAGGGGGCGAACCATCGTCTTGTACAACAGTGGCAGTGTAAACTCATCGATGTTAGCGAATGAGCGCCTCACAACGGCCAGTATATGGGAAAACTTCACGATGGCTGTGGCAGTCTGCTTGTGGAAGTTGAGCTGGCAGTCTATAAAGATGCCAAGGTCTTTCTCCTCCTCTGTCTCTTGTATGGGAATGCCACTCATGACTCAGGGTGTACGTCAGGTCCGGGTTTCACAGGCCGATATTCATTGCTTTACATTTCTGGGCATTGTATGGAAGAAGCCATTTTTCGGACTACCGGACGAGTGCGTCGATGTCGCTTTGGAGGCTTGTGCCGGTTCCGGGCACTTGTCGATAAAGCTTAGTGTCGTCTGCGAAGAGCTTGACTGAGCCAGACACTTCCAAGGGCAGGTCGTTGACGAAGATAGTGAATAAACAGGTCCAAGGACCGATCCTTCGGGAATTCCGCTCGTCACCGGTGCCCAAGGGGACTTACTTCCCTGGACTACCATAGAGATCTTATATATGTTGCAGGCACTTTAGAAAATCAGTCATTTTGTAAAATGCCTAGGCATTTTACAAAAAGACGGCTGTTTGAAAAATGACTGAACGCAACCAGGCTTTTTTCAAAATGGCTAGCCATTTTACAAAATGACTAGGCATTTTGCAAAATGCCTGACCAGCATGGAACGTAGATCCCACTACAGATACTATGGCTAACAGTTTTTGGACGTCTTCCTATACCCTATAGGTACGTGTTCAGCCTGTAGCTGATCGATGTGAAGCTCTATGATGACGACAATGCTGAGTAACGACCAGGTTGAGTTGCAGACTCGGCTGTAGCATAAAGCATTGTTTAGTTAACGCTGTAAAAACTCCCAAGTACATCAACGCCGTTCATGTTCTGCCTGAAACTAGACCTAACAAAACCAGCCGGAGACCGGCCCTAGTCAGTAGGCAGGCCCGGTTGATGTATAATTACATGTAAACGAATGAGTGTAGTCTTTGTTTGATTGTGCCCTTACGGACAAAACTGCATTATGTATTTGGACATTAAAAACACGTTCGAATTTGATTATAATTTCCCACTCCTTCTCTCTCATCCTCACATTTTAACACGCGCAGTGGAAGGGGGGGGGGGGGGGGCGGATTCCGCCCACCACTCCTGTTTTTCGCCAATAACTCGCGCCGCAAGCATGATATTAATGTGAAATTTTGGCTACCTGCCCAGAATTGAACTGTGGATTTTCTCGTGCAAGAAATAAGAAAATCGGGTCACAACTTTTCTTGTAATAGCGATGTAAGGTCAAACATCCTGCAGCCGCGGCGGCGCGGCGGCCGGCGCTAACCGTTACGCGCCGCCTGAATTGTAGACTGTGCCGGGGCGGGACGGTTCCGTCTTTACATCGCGCTCCTTACCGCTGATTATATTCGATTCGCGTCAAATTTTGTGAGAAGACTAAGAAATGTTCAGCCGGCGACATCTTACCCTTATCAGGCTTCTAGCTGCCATATTATGAGGTAGGTATGGACTTCCCACTGCTGGACTCCTCTGGTCATAATGCTGGACTCCTCGGTCCACCTACACGCTACCAAAACGTATATAATTAGGTACTCGTATCTACAACACGCTGCTAAGTCATTTTGTAAAATGGCTAGGTATTTTGTAAAATGCCTAGGCATTTTGCAAAATGACTGGAGAGTCAGTCATTTTGTAAAATGCCTAGGCTTTTTGCAAAAAGCCTGGAAAATCAGGCATTTTGCAAAATGCCTAGGCATTTTACAAAATGACTGATTTTCTAAAGTGCCTGCAACATATATGTTACAGGCAAAGTGAAAACTCGGGCATTTTGCAAAATGCCTAGGCAATTTGCAAAATGCCTAGGCAATTTGCAAAATGCCTGACCGGCCAGGCATTTTGCAAAATGCCTAGGCAGTTTGCAAACTGCCTGACCCACCAGGCATTTTGCAAACTGCCTGAAATTATTTTTCCAGGCATTTTGCAAAATGCCTGACATCAAACTAACACCAGCGACGATGTATAGGTAAGCATCATTAGTAACTGCCGCTTACAAAAGATAATCGCTGTCCATGCGCACCAAGTGAGAGGACACTGCGTTCTCCGGGTAGTGCCGCTGGAGCCTCAGCGGCCGTCGGGTGCCGAGCACCGGGCGTGGTTTCGTTGGTGAACTGGCGCTCGGTACAATGATTTGCACTGTTTCTAAAAGCCCTTGGTGGCTTTTTGAAAATACTATGGGTGGATACTGGATATTGATCAGAAAAGAATACTCTTATAATTTGCGAACATTTGATTGTTGCAAGTTTACATTATCAATCGTCTCTGCCGGGACAGTAGCCAATTAGGGCAGAATACTATGTAGACATCGTAGCTTTTATACACACAGGGCTACAACTCCATATATACGAAAAGTACGGAGACGGTGGCTCAAATCCATTCAGTGGTGGCTCCATCTCGACGGAATTGACGCAAGACGTAGGTATACAGAGTGTCACGAAATTGATGCGCGGTTGGCACGGTCTATTATGTTCATAGGTGGCCGAACCGGAACGGGGGGGGGGGCACCGGGGCGCCTTGTCCCCCTTGATTTTGGCATTTTAACCCTCGCCCTGGCAGGGGGGTTCGATGCGACCCCCCTTAAGGTTTTTCGAAGATAGCGTAAAAACGGCGGCGCGCAGCGCCGCCAAATTTGGCACAGCCTATGGGGCAACCTTTTTACATATGACCTGAAAATTTCAGGTCCGGGTGACCTTGGGTCAGGTCACCAGGTCAGAAAAACCGGTACAAGGTCATGGTCAAATTTCAATTTTCTGTTTGCAGCTGTCCAACTCACAGTTTTGGACTGATTTCCTTCAAACTTTCAGGATGTGCTAAGTTCACCGAGTTGTATAACATATAGTTCGTTTTTTTTAGGTCACTGACCTGAGGTCAGTTAGAGGTCATTACGTCGTAATGTTAAGCCTATGGGAAAATACTAAATTCGGAAAATACTGGAGATATCCGCTTCATTCTATCACTTTTGTGCTTTGAAACCACAGTACGTAACAGCAGGTCACTTGGTGCTTCTTTGTTTGGTGTACTTATCCATGGGTCAGGTCAAATGAGGTCAACTGAGGTCAAATGACGTTTTTGCCAATAACTTGGCACATAATGACGCTAGAGCTTAAAAATGGTATCATTGTGTTCCTGGTGATCAGCCGAATCGAATGATATGCGATATGATGCAATTTGGTTAACTTGAACTTAAGTTATTAATTTAAGTTTACTTAAAATTTAAGAAAAACTTTAAGTACACTTAAGCAAGCTAAAAAGTATATCATTCGACGCGCCTTGACGTGCTGAGTTCACTGGTGCTTTTCGTTTTGCTCTATCTTAATTAGATAAAAAGTTATAAGCGAAAAACTTTTGACCTGTTTTTAGCGAAATTTTTACATTTATACCCCCCAAAACCCCCCTAAATATTGACCTAGAGCAACCAAATTTGCACAGGGGCGAGAACTCCAGGGGGCCCACCTACCTACCAAATTTGGTGTTTCTAGGTGCCATAGGAGCCAATCGCTGCCAGGCCGTGTTATGAAAAATGCCCTGCCAGGGCGAGGGTTAACACGAGCCCTATGAGCGTTGCATGGAAAGAATGGGACCAAAAGTCGGCAGCGTTCCCCCTTAATTGAAGGTGTTCCGCCGCTACTGGTTATGTTGTCCCTCCCATGTCCCTCCTGAGTGCTGAATGGATGTAATTTTAACGGGTCCGGCACCAGGGCATCTGGACCAGGGCACTCCGCATCTAAATCGGTCATCACTCGGTATCTGAAGACTTACCCTGAAGCTGAGGCCGCTCAACCTCAGGCTGTAACGCTGACTTACCGTCATCCAGAAGTGATGCAGCTGGATTTCGCCAGGGCCCACCAAATCTGGACCATTCAGGACTAGAGATTCAGACTTTTTCAGTGATTAGGCGATATTAGAGCTCTTATAACTCACTAACTGTCTCGATAACCAGTTCTGGGCCAACAGCATCTCAGAGGCGCTGCATCGTCGAGACGGTGGAGCATCCACCACTGGGGATTCTCGATTGGGGCATGATGGGCTACAGAGGCCTCTTTGAGCTTCACCAGGTGCCGCACGGACAGACCACGTGACTGCTGATAACTTGTCAGCGAGGAGGTGCCGGAGAACACTGACGCAACTACGATGCAATCAATTTCGGGACACTAACTAGTGCAACATCCCGCAACAATTTCGTGACACCCTGTATTCGTGACCGTGGAATGTGTTTGTGCTCTGGCACAGTGGAACGTTTATGGTCAACGCCTGCAGTCAACAAAAAGGGTGAAATGTATTATGGAACCTCAGGCATTTTGCAAAATGCCTGGCGGGTCAGGCATTTTGTAAAATGCCTGGGCAGTTTGCAAAATGCCTGGTGGGTCAGGCAGTTTGCAAAATGCCTGGTGGGTCAGGCAGTTTGCAAACTGCCTAGGCAATTTGCAAAATGCCTGGTGGGTTAGGTTTTTTGCAAATTGCCTAGGCATTTTGCAAAATGCCCGTGTTTTCACTTTGCCTGTAACATATACATACATGAATATTGTATATAAGATCTCTATGTGGACTACGACCCTCTGTCGACGACCGACCAGAAAGGCCGCGATCTAATTGAGAGGGGCTCCTCTGACCGAAGAATTGCACTATGAAGAAATGTTGTAGGAAGTCAGGTACAATAAGGCTAGATAGGTTTTTATTATTCTTGATATAAAAAATATTACCTCGAATGTTGGAATGGACTGATTGAGCTGGAGCCCATGCTAAGCAGAGCTTGTCGGGTAGACCTCGTCTGTACGATCGCGCAATTCCAGGTAATGGGATAATTTAGATGCATAAGTTAAACGTGCCTTTCGAGGCCAGACACGACCTGTCCCACTCAACTGACTTCAACTGGTTGAGGCTGCTTCCACCAACCGCAGACCATCCCGCCAGGAGTCTCAGATATCGAGCGCCGGAGCGACTCGAACCCGGGCTGGGCTCTCACTACCGGGAGTCCAAGGCTCTACCAACTGAGCTACGAGACAGGCAGGGTCATAAGAGCCTCACTTAACGAGTTCTGACAGGTCCCGATTTTCCCGACTTTTGGGTCGTTGACCTGACCTGGAAGGTCAACCAATGACCTAGGACCTTGAAATTGGGTATCATCGGCTTTCCCTCGTTACGGGCAACACGCTCGTTTTTTCGCGAAGCTCTAGCTCGATCAGAGGCCGAACGGCAAGGGTTCACCGCCCCCCCCCCTCCCCTATACGTTCGCGGCTGGCAAAACACCAAAACGGGCGAGGGTTAACCCGCGCCCCGTTGGGCTCTGCCGAGCAACGCGCCCGGTTGGGGGGGGGGGCCATTTTGCCCCCCCCCCCTAAGATCTCGAGAACCACGCAACATAGCGACAAGCGGTAAACGGCGTTGGATAGCCCCAACGGGGAACTACCTTGTGACCCAATTTTATTGACCTAGGTCAAACCGATGACGTCACAGGTCAGGTCAAAGGTCCAATTTTCACCGTTTACAGGCAATTCAAGAAATGCGTTGTAAAATCGAGTAAAATGCATTTCATTGAAAATCATCGATGGGGAAATGTTCTTCAAACACATATTTTGCTATTTGAGGTCACTGATACCAGGTCAGGTCACAGAGGTCAGGTCACGGGGGGGCACAATATGAAAGTGTCGTGTGATACATGTTTTATGGTCCATTTTACATGACAAATGCGATTATATGGGTCAGGCAGCCTTTGGGGCCAGCTTAGATCACGTTTTGGTCAAGGTCAGGTCAGGTCAAGGTCAGGTCAAATAAGGTCAAATTTCAAAGTTAATATTTTTGCATAAAATGGGTATCGAATCGATGCAGCTCGTCACGGGGAGTTCAATGGTGGTCTTATTTTTGCCGTACGTGGTCTAGAATTGCTAAAAATTGAGTTCAAAAATTTGACGTCATCATTTTTGAACAGTTTTTTTCGCTATAACTTGGCCAAAAAACGAGATATCAATCTGAAATTTGGTATGTATATAGAAGAGCGCTGGGACTATCACATTTATTCCGGTTTTTTCGAAATTCGGAAAATTTTTGGATTTTTTCAAAGTTTTTCTAAAAAAATCAATTTTTTGATTTTTTTGTGGTCAAAAACCAAAAATTTTGAAAATCTGAGATAGCAGTTTTGTAGCGCCGCTTTTTGTCTACTAGACCATATAAAGAACTTTGAAATTGCTTGATAACTGTAGATTTGGTGAGCGTTTCAAGATTGCATGTTTTTTGCTCATTTTTGCTCGAACATGACCTCAGTTTGACCTCAATAACTCCTGACCTAAGGTGACCTAAGACTTGAAATTTGGTGTGAAGGTGTCAAATTGATGCCCGGGAAGGTACTGAAAATTTGGCGGCGCTGCGCGCCGCCGTTTTCTTGCTATTCAGGAAAAACCACAGGGGGGCCAAAATGGCCCCCCCCAACGGGGCGAGGGTTAAGGAAACAATCTACATCACACTACACATGTAGGTATTCAATGCGAAAGTAAAAAAGCAACAATTTCTTTTACAGGGTACAGACACCAGTAACCATGGCAACAAATGGCTCTGCTCCCCGCAACACTGCCACCGTGGTGCTGGGATCACAGTGGGGAGACGAAGGCAAGGGGAAAATCGTCGACCAGCTGGCCAGCGAGATGGACATGGTGTGCCGCTGCCAGGTGAGTTTCGTACCGCTTTTCGTTGCTTTTATTTGTAGTTTTGTATGCACACAATGCCAAGTGATAAGTAGTTCTATCGCTTGCCAGTAAGCCACCTTTTTTAGGCATAGGTAAGCGAGGGCAATGTTAGTCTGAGGTTGAGCTCTACTTGCACAATGCACATTCAAAGCCAGACCAGAACTAGAAGCAGAACGTACTCCTTTCTGACAACTTTAACCTAAATGCTGCCCCATGTACTGGACCTGGCATGCATCTGCAGTCAGTGGCGTACCCAGGAATTTGCGAAGGACCAGGGCATTGGACGAGAGGGCGCCAATCAAGGAGGGCGCCAACAACAAGGAGGGCGCCACATATCTGAAACTTGAATGTGTCAGTTTTGTTCGTACACGTGCGGAACGAACATAACTGACATACTGGACAGAGGGGCGCCACCCACCATCATCTAGGAGCGCGACGCTATCGATTGGAGGGGCGCCAATACTGGACAAAGGGGCGCCACCGGCCCACCATATCGTCTAGGAGGGCGCCACTATCACCAGAGGAGCGCCAATACTGGACAGAGGGGCTTCGCCATCAACTAGAAGCGCGCCGCTATCGACTGGAGGAGCGCCAACACTGGACAGAGGGGCGCCAGTCACTGAGGGCGCCGGGGACGATGAGCCAAAGGGACAGGGCATGCACGGAATGTCCTGTATGTGCGTACGCCACTGTCTGCAGTTGCCAGTCTGCAGCAAGGTCTGCAAGTCTTTCATCGCGTTCAGGCCCGAGTTAAAAAAAAAAATCATGCATTTTTAGTGGCATATATTGTATTGAATAAGAGTGTGAGTTTTCTGGCAGACACAACTTATCTCGGCCCACATCCAGAAGTTGCCGAAAGCTGAATTATGGTGTTCTGTCACTTGCAAGCTGCACTCACCGTGAGGATCTCCTGAAGCTCGCCAATATCGTATTGTGGGGCGTACAATGATTAGTAGCGAGCGAGCGCAGCGAGCGAGGCGAAGTCTTTTCAATACCAGTAAAACGCCTTTTGGGCAAAGAACGAGCGAGCGAGATAGTGAGCCCTGCACGTGCAGAAGGGCGAGAGGGTACTTCCAACGGGCTTGTGCAAAGCACCCTTCTAACCGGTCGCCAGCGGTGTACCAAATTTGAACGCAATCGGCCCAACCGTTCCTGAGATCTGGAAGCGGCATTCTGCACGTGCGCACGTGCAAACGGGGTCCAAAATGACTTTTGCACGGCACTCTACTAACCGGTCCCCAACCGTGTACCAAATTTGAGCGCAATCGGCCCAGCCGTTATCGAGATCTGGAAACGCCCCCTGCACGTGCACACGTGCAGTAGCACCCTAACCGCAACACATGAGAATGCATTGCCTGGTGGGTGCCTACCTGTATGCCAAGTTTCAGCGAAATCGCCCCAGCAATTACCGAGTTACTGAAATGGGAACAAATTTGGCACCTCTTATTGTTGTATTTTGCACGTGCAGTGGGGGTCACTCACATAGATCAAGAGTATCCGACCTTTGGTAGAAGGGATGCAGCTACCCTATAAAAATGACAGCAAGACAATCGCTCTGAGATATAACTTATAAGCCTCTCAAAAGCGTTACAGGCCGGGCCGGGCTGGGCCGGGCCGGGCTGGGCCGGGCCGGGCCGCTCATACTGAGATTTTTCCGTTATATTGAAAAGACTCACTTCGCTCGCTGCGCTCGCTCGCTCGTAAAAAGACTTCGCTTCGCTCGCTGCGCTCGCTCGCTCGTAATCAAGCTCACTTATTGAGTACCTACAGGGTGTCTCAAAAGTTTGTTCACACATTTCCCATGCCCATAAAGCATATAAGAACCGGCCAAAAATCTAAGGTTTTGGTGTCTGTGTGCACACTAGACAAATATGCATGCTTTGACAACTGATTCGGAAGGCTGGAAATCAAACTATTTGCTGTATCTCCAAAAATATTTGTCCATACCGATTTTCGTCGCTCCGTCAGCTGTCGGAGGCTGATAAAAGGTTACCAGCTTTCAAGCTCTTGTAGGGGAATCCCCTGCAGTTTCTGCGTCGGATTTAGGTTTGACGAGCTCCCCGGCAACATCCGCTTCTCCCTGAAAGCCGACAGCTTGCATCGACACCATCCGTGAGTATTTTGTAGGTCTTCTCTGGCGCTAACTCCTTCATGAATGACTGGCGCCGACCTCCCAAGCACCATTTTCCTTTTCAAAACAACCCCATTCCTGAACAAATGGGAAGTGCCAGGGACAAATTTTTCGCAGCATATCGTAGAAGAATGTGTCGGCCATCTGTTTCTTAGACACGTTGTGCAAATTTTGCAAATCCCAAACGCTCATCATTCCCCATGACAAGATCTTCACTGGGTTGCGGAGTGTTTTCCTCAGGAGACGTTCTGCTTTGTAAACGGCCAAAACCTGTCCATCATGCGGTTTTGTCGGGATTTTGTGTCTAAAAGAAAGCTATTCGCTCCAGATCTGCCTCTTGAAACTTCGTAAGATAAAAATTTACATTAATTGACACTTTTGGAGGGTCAGTTGTCCTTGGCATTGACGATTTTCGTGTTATTTTCCCCCAAAATTTAGCGTTATAGATATAATAAAAAATTTAAAATGATACTTTGTCTTTATTTTACGATGACCTGCAATTTTTGAAACTGGGTAACCTCTGTCTGTGAGCTTCTTGTCAGTTTTCAATAGTTACCAGTAAAACGCCTTTTGGGCGAAGAACGAGCGAGCGAGATAGTGAACCCCGCACGTGCGGAAGGGCGAGAGGGTGCTTCCAACGGGCTTGCGCAAAGCAGCCTTCTAACCGGTCGCTAGCGGTGTGCCAAATTTGAACGCAATCGGCCCAGCCGTTCCTGAGATCTGGAAGCGGCATTCTGCACGTGCGCACGTGCAAACGGGGTCCAAAATGACTTTTGCACGGCACCCTACTAACTGGTCCCCAACCGTGTACCAAATTTGAGCGCAATCGGCCCAGCCGTTCTCGAGATCTGGAAACGCCCCCTGCACGTGCGCACGTGCAGTAGCACCCTAACCGCAACACATGGGAATGCATTGCCTGGTGGGTGCCTACCTGTATGCCAAGTTTCAGCTAAATCGCCCCAGTAATTACCGAGTTACTGAAATGGGAACAAATTTGGCACCTCTTATTGTTGTATTTTGCACGTGCACTGGGGGTGACCCACATGCATCGAGAGTATCCTATTTTGGGTAGAAGGGATGCTGCTACCCTACAAAAATTACCGCAAGTCAATCGCCCAAGCGGCTGCTGAGATATGAGCCTCTCAAAATCACTACTTTTGCACAACAGCTTGAACATCCTTGACGTTTCACGTGGCACGTGCCACGACGGTCACTGAGATGTATCAAAAGTAGTCAATTACGGGGTAGAAGGGATGGGGCTACCCAACAAAAAAGACCGCAGGCCAATCGGTCCAGCGGTTGCTGAGATATAAGCCTCTCAAAAGCGTTACAGGCCGGGCCGGGCCGGGCCGGGCCGGGCCGGGCCGGGCCGGGCCGCTCATACTGAGATTTTTCCGTTATATTGAAAAGACTCACTTCGCTCGCTGCGCTCGCTCGCTCGTAATGACTTCATTTTAAGCTGCTTTCCGGAGCACGAGTCTGCTGCCGTACGAGGGTCGTTCAAAACGCTGTTAGTCTCGCATGGTTTTGTCCTTCAAAAATTTTAGCCACCGTTTTTATTAGATGATAATCATGTTGTACTCATCCTCGCCGACAGTTTGCCATGGGCCATTTTCGACTTAACCATTCCCATTACTCCTGAAATAGAGATTTTCTCAGCCGACCCGATTTTGCGACCTCCATTTTCATGCCTGACCCATGGTCAGAGATGAACCCTTTTTGTGAGCTCATGAAGGGTCGAATGCGCTTGAAAACAATGAGACTGCTTGAGGAAGGTTGTTACGAATGCCCATGCAAAATTTCGACCGTTAATTAGTTGTTGATTCAGAATTATTGACAAAAAAGCATGGCTGGTACCTGTGAACGAACTTTTGAGACACCCTGTACATCATATGCCAGTGAGTTGACTATGCTGACCATGTGAGCGACATGGAGCCAATATAGCCCCTCCACGCGGTGTAACCGATGCTGTGCTCGTTTACCGCAGGGCGGGAACAACGCCGGGCACACAGTGGTCGTGGACGGCACCGAGTACGACTTCCACATCCTGCCCAGTGGCATCGTCCACAAACACTGCCTGGCAGTGATCGGTGAGTCCACAAGCACTGTATGGGAGTAATCGGTGAGTCCACAAACACTATGGGAGTAATCGGTGAGTCCACAAACACTGTCTGGTGAACCCGAGTCAGTCCACAAACACTGTATGGGAGTAATCGGTGAGTCCACAAACACTGTATGGGAGTAATCGGTGAGTCCACAAACACTGTCTGGTGAACCCGAGTCAGTCCACAAACACTGTATGGGAGTAATCGGTGAGTCCACAAACACTGTCTGGTGAACCCGAGTCAGTCCACAAACACTGCCTGGACCTTTGACAGTGAGTCCATAGGTAAATACTGTCTGATGAGTCCGAGTCAGTCCGCAAGCACTGTCTGGCCGTTATTGGTGAGTCCACACTCCAGTCAGACACTGATGAGTCCGAATGAGTCCACGAACATCGGTGAGTCCGAGTCAGTCCACGAGCACTGTCCGGCCGTTCTTGGTGAGCTCGTGTGTGAGACCCGACGACTTCTGCTGCCAAACACTCTTGATCTCTGTCCCGGGCTGGGGCGGAATGGGTGGTTGTGGACATCATAATATGCTGATTGGTGAGACGGCCAGTGATGTTTTGCAAACTCATTTTCGGAATTAATGAGCGTTCAGCATGCTACGCTGTTACTTAGCGGTGGTCTGTCCTCATTTTACAATATTTTGAGCAATCCATCTTTATACTGAACACACTTTTCGTCACTTCTATTGATTAGTTTCTTATTTCAGGGTGGGTACCCCAACGGCTACGGCCTACGACATCCTGTGCCATTGATTCAGACGTTGCCAGGGGCTAGTCCACCGTGACCCTGTATCATCCTGACGGTGCGATTGTTATTGTTGTTGAGCCAGTTGGCGGGAACCTCTGAGCCCTGCTGGATGTTTCATCTCGTCACCGAACCCGGATGTAACCCTCTCACCCCGGTGACTTGCATCGCCACCGACATCGCCATCAGATGGTGCATGCCGTCACCACCTCCAGACCTAGTATCGGTCTGTCAATAAATAGATAGCGATCAATAAACATAGACTGCTCCTTCTATTCACCCTCCAATCACAACCAAGCCCTCGAGACATACATCTTGCCATTTCGTAACCAGCCGTCCTTTTGCAGGAAACGGAGTGGTCATCCACCTGCCTCAGATGTTTGAAGAGATTGAGAAAAATGAGGCAAAAGGACTGACGCACTGGCGAGAGAACTTGAAAATATCCAGTCGCGCTCACCTGGTCTTTGACATGCATCAGGTAACACACTGGCCGTGAACCAACCGTCTGGTTATCAGTATTGTAGTGTACAATTTGAATTGTCTTGATGATGCTGAGCTGTTTCGTGGCTGAAATGCGGACAAAACGATGGACCGTCACCAATTTTGCTAGTCATTCCTCGGTGGATGCCGGGCGGTAAGTTGGGGGGAACTCAGCACACTCCTGTTTTGGTCTGATTTTGAGCTCAAAGCACCTTTACTACTGTCCCAGCTGGACCCGACGCTCCTCAGCCTGGGTCCGATGTGAATAAAATGAGGCCTGCTGCTTCGGGCACTGACGACAAAACGCGAAGCCGGAATATGATACTGAAGAGCGGTCAGTGTCTCGTCGTGTCGCCCTGACCCGCATTGTATAACCCAGCGTATGTTTCTGTACCAGTCCTCACGTTCAACCCCCGCTGTTGGAGACTGGCCGGTCCGGGATCGATGGCGACAACCACGCTGACCTCCTGACCTTAGCGGCATTCCAGCTATGACCGGAATGGGCCGGTCGGCCGCATACTCCGCCGTGTAGCACGCCGATGTAGCGCTAAATGCTACACGAACGCTGTCCGGCGCGGTGTGGTGTAGTCAGCGCAGGCCAGGCGCTCGGCGAGACGAGTGCGTACTGCACCCTCCGTGTGTGTTTATACTCACTCTTGACGGTGTAGCATGACCCCTCCCGTGGGACTATCTCTCACCGGATTCGGGCAGACGCCGGCAGTCGTTTCTTTGAAATGAGACCAGGCTGGTCTGGGCACGTGGTGAGGTTTTGGTACTGATGCAGTACGGGGTGTGCCGGTCATGTGGCAAGGCTGCAGAGGCGAGCCGGAAACTGGTCTGAGGCGTTTAGAGGCCACCGGATGCCCTAACGCTGAGAGCGGCAGCGGCCGTCCCATTGCTGAGATCACCAGACCCGGCCGCCTTGGTGTGTAAGTTACACGCCGTCAAAGCCTCACACCGGGGACGACCGGCCTGTATCTGTGAGCCTGAACAGCAGCGGCAGCCGGCTGGTACTGCCGGGGCTGTGGCTTCAAAAAGTCCTTGCAGCAGCTGTATATACATTGGGGGCTGATTTATGTTACAAGAAGGTCATTTGTGCAAGGTTTATTGCAAGATAAGATAAATGTTCGTTTTCTACGACCTGGAGATATGTCGTTTTGCTTCAGTCGTCCTTGAATGAAAAGACAACACAGGACCTAACGAAATTCGAAGGTAAATATTATCAACGGTTTGGCTTTCTGTCAAACCGTTAGCATTTGCAAGCTCACGTCCTCTAATCATACAAAAAAAAAATGAGTAGATGAGGCTTGAGTAGGCTGGATGTGTCACAGATCGTAATCATCGATTTCTGGCTTGTGGCAAACGTTTGTTTGGACTGGCCGGCTTTTCTCAGCATTTTTATCAAGGTTCGAATAAGCTTCGTGGTCTGTTTCGGAATGGTTTCATTTGAAAGGGCATGCTGGGCCCTGTAGTTACCGAGCTGTTGCGAGGTCAGTTAGATAAGACTGTTTACTAAAACTCAACACCGAGCCGAGCCTCTTTTTCCTCTCTTTTAATTACTTCAGCAACTGTAGCTCATTCAAATGTTTAATAGATATGCAGTTGTAGACTAGCGGAAAATGTTCATCTGGTCTTGGGAAAGCCGCTGATATTGACTTATCACTGCCCCTTTCACATTGTATTAATCGAGTGGAGTCAGTCGCAATGCCCATTGCTCAAAAGAACACTCAACTTTCCAATGTTTCAACCGTTTACTGTCCTCAACCGCTGCAAACACATTTATCAGTTATCATCATACTGAACTGGCTGAAATGTGGTGATCTACTGGAAGCCTGCAACTCCAGGCATTTCTGAGTAGATGTGTGATATTTCATAACACCGGCCATATTCCTGCGCCGCAGATGATTTCGGTCGGGCGTACGTACGCTCAGCGCAGCCGCCTGCCTTGTCATTTCTCCTCGTGACGGTTGACGTGCCGTTTGGCTGATGAGCTTTGTACGCATCCACCCTCGTCCGGCCACAATGTCGGCTCTGTCCTCTCTGGCTGGCCGCCCGCTGGCCATAGCCTTCCGGAGCCTGGTGGGACCTTCAGCAGACAGCCTGAGTAAACACATGAGAGACGAGACCACGCGTGACCACCCCCCCCCCCCCCTACGACGGGACTGCGTGTCACCGAGACTGGAGGAATGACACGCGATGACACGCGAGAGGCGCCCAGGGTGACACGGCTGAATCCGATGGGCAGCTGACGTGTCAGTGTCACCAGAGGTGTCCCCGTACGGACCGATGGCCCCGGTCGGAAAGTCGGGAGACACTGCAATGTTTAGGAAGTCGCGTTAGCTGACAGGGTTGGGAGAATGGGAAGGTTGTTTGGCTGTAGGGATAGTGAATGCAAGGATTAGGAATGAGATTC